AGGAAAATTTATATAGAACTAGAAATTCAAGGCGCTTTGCGCCCTTCTTTCTAGCCTTAGAGGGCGCTTCGCCCCCATCTTCTAAACTAATTGTGAACAATGTTCTCTTTGTGTACATCGTAAAACAAAACAAAAATAATTCGCGGATTTTCACAAAAATTTCATGGATTTTCAAAATTTTAAAAAATTTAATGAAGATCGAATTTTGATTGAGACAAATATTTAAAATTTCAATCATTTATAAACCTTCCATGGGGTCCCTAGATGTCCCACAAAAAATTTGGGCCCGATCGGTTCAGCCGTTTTGACGTTTATTGGATACAAACAAACATCCTAACAAACAAACAAGCCAAATTTATATATAGATGGATGATAAAACCGGTATTAACTAGGATGACTAAAGAACCCGTCAGCTGTTCTATGCTAGATAATCCTACCCCGAATTAAGCAGCATTAGCGTCTAAAGAATCCGAATTTCCTAAACACTGGTATTTTTGATAAGAGTGGTATTAGAAAATACCGCTCTTATACCACTCTGAAGAGTCATCTTTCTAGAACCGGCCTTTTATTTCTTATCTTTGTAAATTGTCAGAGATAATTGAGATGATTCTCTTAAATAGAATCCTTAGAATCCTTATTCCTTGATTTTCTTAGACATTATCTTATTCCTTGATTTTCTTAAATAATTTAACATTTTTAATAATTTGTTTGAGCTTGATTCAGCGTAAAGAATGTTTTACTGAAAGCTAATGATTTTTATATCTAGCGACAACTTGATACTTGAGACCTGAGAGTCAGGCAGGATATTCTGGTTTGGAGACCTGGCTTTTGATTGCATCTTTATTGCAACTCTGATCTCTTCATCTGTGGTTCTGCCCGAAAAAGTAAGCATAAACCTTTATTTAAGTTTACTTGAAATTTGCCTTTTCTTTTGGAAGTTTCTGCAACTCAATTCATTTCGCAACGTTTTGCCACATTTTGCAACGTTATTGCAACTTTTGCAGCAATATTTCTAACTTTTGCAACTTTCTTACATTGCAATTATTGGCAAAATTCTTTAAGTTCGCCAATTTTAAGAAACTTCATTGCATTTATTATGCAAAGTTCTACCATGCAATTTATTGCATGATTTCAATTTTGAGAGATACAGCGGTCTTCATAATTACCAGTGCATTAGTTATTATTTTAAATTAGCGTTTTAAAGGCTAATAAAATGGTTAGCATTTATTGATAGCCATAATCTATTGATTAGCACCATTATTGCATTCCAATTAAATTAAATAAAGTTTTAGTTTTGGTTAATACCATGGTTAAGCTTTAAACTTATGAATTGTAAGCTTAACTTTAGCTTAACTTTAACTTATGGATTCCTTATAGCTGTAAACTTTTTAATGCTTGTTTAACCCAACTTTTGTTTAGTTCGGAAGAGTCTTGCGAATCACCGTCAGTGCTACAGAACTCTTTAATTTGCCAGCTTCCCTTTTAAGAGCGGTACATATATTTGTATTTTAGAGTAATAAATTATTGTTCAGTTTTTTTTTTTTCATTTTAAAAACACAGATAAATAATTACTTATGATATTCCTGCAACTACAGGGTATAATTTTTCTGCAACACCCTAATGTACAGTACTGCCCCTTAATGAACAGTACTGCCCCCTAATGTACAGCACTGCCCCCTAATGTACAGTACTGCCCCCTAATGTACAGTACTGCCCCTTAATGTACAGTACTGCCCGTTAATGTACAGTACTGCCCCTTAATGTACAGTACTGCCCCCTAATGTACAGTACTGCCCCCTAATGTACAGTACTGCCCCTTAATGTACAGTACTGCCCCCTAATGTACAGTACTGCCCCCTAATGTACAGTACTGCCCCCTAATGTACAGTACTGCCCTCTAATGTACAGTACTGCCCCCTAATGTACAGTGCTGCCCCCTAATGTACATTTTCAGAATAAAAACAGTATTAAATCAGCACAACATGGATATTTATATAATAAGCATGTTTTGCACCAATTTTTAAACATTTCGTTGAAGAATTCAAATCTTAAATTGAATCCAAGCTCCAAACTCAAATTTTTCAATCCCTATATCTTTGAACCCTAATGGTGTAAACCATCAATATTTTAAGCAATAGTTTGAAATATCTAAGGTCTACGTAATTGGGTTGTTAATATAAAGGGATTGGAAAATCTAAGTTTATGACAGCGGCTCAATTTCTTTAACTTTTATAAAACAAATATTGTTTATAGAGGTCAAGTTCCTATAATTAATTACCACGCATTTTACACAACACTAATGTGTTGTCAACCCAGATAAATTAAATGTTTTATTAGAAGCAATGTATTTTTTACAATTATACGTAAATTTTACTAACTGTAAGAATAAATTATCAAAGTTATGGAATTTACGGAAACAGTTTTAAAGAGCTCAATATAATTATCTAATGAAACACTAAATATCTGCAGCATTCAATTATCAGTAGGCTTAGCACATTTTATAAATTCGTATATGAACTCAGTAGCTTGTAGTATGTAGCATATCTACTATTTAATAAACTCAGTAGCTTGTAGTCTGTAGCATATCTACTATTTATTAAACTCTGTAGCTTGTAGTCTGTAGCATATCAACTATTTATTAAACTCTGTAGTTTGTAGTCTGTAGCATATCAACTATTTATTAAAATTCAGAATTTTATGATTTAATACATTAAATGCATTTTTTTTAATAAATGTCCGTTTATAAGCATTTAAAGTTTAAAGAGGCTCCGATTAACAAGAATACCTTGCAAAAGTTTGATTTTATTACATTACTAGCTGGGGAACCAAGCGTTGCACAGGAGGTCATAGTTAGTCCCACTAATTACCCGTGCTTTGCCGTAAATTAGGATTAAAACTATTTTAACTTAAATCTTAAAACCAAGCAAAGAATATTACAGTGTTTCTTCTGAGTTTCCCATTAAAAATTTGAGTCAAATCGGTCCAGGGGTTCCTGAGTTATGATCGGAAAAACAAACAAACAAACAAACAGACAAACAGAGATTACAACTTTGCAACATTTTTACTCTGACCAGAGATATTCACATCTTTTATCAAACGAAACAGTTCTCATCTGTAATAAAATCAAATTTATCATGGATTCAAGTGTGCTATGTGATATTTAGCTCACAGTTTTAAGACAAGTTTTTTCGCATTTTATATAGGGTTACAAACCAATGATGAGAATTCAATGACGACTATCCAATGAATGGAAGTGGGTCTTAATGTAGATTTAGTGTGGTACAGGTAAAATAAGGCGAAAATTTCGTCCTGCCAACAAAAATGTTAAGAAAAATGAAATTTTTGTTTATTTTCACAAAATTTTTGTTGAATTTTTTTCTCGAAAGTCATTCGCTAAACTCGTTTGAAATTTTCGACCTTTCGTTTAAAATCTAATTTTTTTTTGGCAAAAATACAATCAATTCTTGATGCAAAATGGAAAATTACGATTTTATCAACCGAAAATTGATAGAAAATTGCGAAAATAAAAAATTTTGCGGAAACAAGGTTAAAAATTTTCGTAAAATTTGCTCGCGAAATTCGTTTGAAAATGTTCAATTTTTCATTCAAAATCTTATTTTTTTTCGCAAAATGCAATCTTCTTCATGTGAAATGTAAAAATTTCGATTTTTATCAAACTAATATTGAACAAAAATTTTTCGCAAAGGAGGTAGAAAATTCCGTCGAAAATACATTGAAATTCGCAAAAAAATGTTCAGCAAAAATGAACGAATCCTATTCGTTCCTTTTTACGAATTTTATCTAACAAAAATTTCGATGGAAACCCTAAGTCTGCCTGCAGATGAGAACTCAGATGGTCTTTGTTAAAAACTCTAAAAACCCCGTAGTTTAATTTTGAAAAAAAAGATTTTTTGCCCATATGTGTTCTTAATTACCATGCTGTCCATGAATTAATTGTTTTAATTTAGAATTTAGCCAAGATTGTCAACCATTAACCATGATCAGTGTAAAGTCGTCTTTAACTTAGAACCCCCTCTCGGAGACACTAAAATCCAAACCAAATAATTTTAGACTCCGGTCCTTTGTTCTATCATCGGAGTGTAAATAACTTAAAGCATTGTGAATCCATCCATTTCAAAAGTTAAACAAAGAATATTTTCACATAAAGAATTAGTGACTTTCGTTAATAATTAATTGTCATTCTTTTCAGAAGTTTAAAAAACGTCTTAGGACGTCCGACGATTTAACCCTCCGATATATCAAAATAGATCGTAAGAATCTTTTCATAATAAACATTCATTGTAACAATTTTATATGTTATTATTTATATATTTTTTATATGTTATTATTTATATATTTTTTATATGTTATTATTTATATCATTTTTTCAGGAAATAAAGAGTTTTCTTCATTATCGGTTTTGATTTGAGGGTTAAACTGTTGTTTATCTGTTCATCATTGAGAATCTTGTTTCTATCCGACAACAAAGATATGTTATTACATAGCCTTCACATCTGAGACTTCCAAATTTTTAGTGGAGACCCAAAATTTGATTTTCATTTGAGACCCCAAGTTTTACATCGGGGGCCTCAGTTAATCCCCAAATTTGCTGACCCCCAAATGAAAAACTTGAGGTGTTTTATGAAAATCTGATGTCTCAGATAAAAATCTCTGATCTCCGATAAAAAGCTTGGTGTCTCTGAAGAAAATCTCAGATCTCTGATGAAAAACTTGGTGACTCTGAAGAAAATCTAAGATCTCTGATGAAAAGCTTGGTGTCTCTGAAGAAAATCTAAGTTCTCTGATAAAAAGCTTGGGACCTCTGAAGAAAATCTAAGATCTCCGATGAAATGCTTGATGTCTCTGATGAAAAGCTTGGTCTCCAATGAAAATTGGGGGTTCATGTTGTGAATCTCCGAGTCTCCAACTATACAAAAAAATAGGGAGACTTTAATGTAACCAAATCATATTGAGGACACTTATAGGTTGAATTAAATTAAATTTCTTATCAAAAAACATTTATTTTCACAATTAACGTGTATGATTTACGTGATTGCAAAAATTTGAAAAATATTATAATTGTAACTTTGCGGTATGAATGATTATATATTATCAATTATTATTATGAATAAGAAAAGAAAAAGTCTGTAATTTTTGTGATAATTCAAACGCTTCTACAAAAAAATCTCTTGCGGTGTTTATAAATAGAGAAAGTGCAAAGACGACAAAAATTTGTCTATAGTATCATCTATTGTTAATTTCATGTGCAAAAGATTTGTCCAACTTTTTTATTCACAATTCTGTATTTCTTATTTTTTAGGTTTGCGTTTCTTATCTTAAAAGTTTTTATTATTTTTTTTGTTAGCATTTTTGTATTTCTTATGTTTTCTGACGTTTTCTAATTTCCGAGCAAAGGTACATTAAAATTTATTTACATTAATAACGCGAAAATTTTACTGGAATTAAGTTAAAATTTGAGAAAATCTGTCGAAAATTGTGTCATTCATTTACATTCATGTCATTCTATTACACATATTTTTTTTTCTTAAAATTACTCAATTGAAATTACATTTTAAAGGCAAAATAAATTTTGAAATCGATTAATTTTTTTAATAAATAAATATTGTAATTAAGCAAAGATGGCAAGGCAGGCTAGAATAAGCAGAAGTCCAGCCATTGGCATCGCTCCTGAAAAAAAATATTATTTTTTTATTCCTAGACCTAGAATTTTAGGCCCTTTGAGCAGTCTTAACATAAAAAGTTTGTGGTAACCTTTTTCTTCGTAAGTTATAAAACGGAACACGAACATTTCATGAATTTCCAAGTTTTTTTTGCGGATTTTTAAATATATATTATATACAAAAATCCAAACTCCTTTTAGAATAACATCTCTGAGTGAGCCGTAATGGTCAATACATTTTGCCAGATCAGTTCACCTGTTTTGACATTTATCGATTAGATTTAAACAAACCAAATTACATAAAAAAGCTAATTTATCCAGAACATTATGAAAATTGTAAAGATTAATGAAAAACCTAAATTATTTTAAAAACGTTGTTTGCGCCAGAAAACCATTAATTATAAAGTCTACTGTGTTTACCAAGGAAGAACTTTCAAACAAACATAATTATTGGAGTTTTTACAGAAAATGCATACTAGTTTACTCTGGTGGGTTTCTTTCAGAATTATAATTTTTACAATAATGTGTAAACAGGGGGGGGGGGCGGGTGTAGGGCGACTAAGCTCCCCTTTATCTCTAGAAAAGTTTATACAGACAAGGCCGTAACTGGAAGGGCCCCCCCCCCCCGTATGATAAAATTTGATATAAAATAAGTTTTTTTTACTGCTAATCTTTTATTTACCCTACAAACCTCTAAACGTTTAGATCTGTTATACAATTAAAATTTTTCTTAAACCCCTGTCCCCTACATTTGACTATTATTTAATTATGAACAAAGAAAAATTATATACACCATGTAAAGTTTAAATTTTAGAGCAAAAATGCCAGAAAAAAGGGGGCAAAACGACCCCGGACGTCTGTTAATGCTTAATAATAGGAAACCTGTATTGCAGAAATCCACATTGTTGCACGCGCAAACATCTCCAATTGTCGCAGTTTTGCACAGAGGGCTGGTCAGATTCAAAAAACTCTAAAAAAGCAAAAGCGTAATTCACTGTGATCTTGTTGCATAAAACGTGAACTGGGTCTACACTAATACTAATAAGAAGATTACAACGTAACTTTAGTGTTAACGAAAAAATGTAATTACTATTTCTTGTAGGGACTGCACAGTGCACGCATGACTGGCATGGTCGATTTACAACAGTATCATTTAAACCTTTGTCTGTTTAACAAAAAATTGTCGTTCAATTTACTTTACCTATTTTCTAATCTGCATTTATAGACAACCGGGATTAAAAATTGTCAATTTGTTTATTTAAATGCAAGGATATCTTTTCTGTAGTAAACGCCTACTCCATAACAATTTTTCGAAGAGGTATCTATCCAGGTACAACTCAGATTCTCTTGACTAGCAATGTCAACACACGGCTACAATTCTGTGAACTATCAACGCCACTACCACTGGACGCGATCTCGTTACCATGTCAACGGGACAATAGCAATCAATTGATCAATGTCTCAAACGGACATGTTCCACACAGCTACAATACTGTGAACTATCAACGCCACTACCACTGGGCGCAATCACATTAGCTATGTCAACCAGACAATAGCAATTAATCGATCAATGTCTTAAACAGGGCACGTTCCACACGGCTACATTTCTTTGAACTATCAACGCCACTACCACTGGACGCAATCTTGTTAGTTATGCCAACCAGACAATAGCAATCAATTGATCAATTTCTCAAACAGGGCACGTTCCACACAGCTACAATCCTGTGAACTATCAACGCCAATACAACTGAGCGCTATCTTGTTAGCTATGTCAACCGGACAATAGCAAATAATGATCAAGCCAAAACTCAAGGGAAAGATCTTAGCTATGTCGACCGGACAATAGCAATCAATTTGTATGTTTCAACAAAACCAAATTTCTCTCAACACTATAATTAAAGCAGAGTTTCTGTATCATCTAAGGTATATTTCTTCAGTTTAGACTAGAATTCGGTCCTTAACAGAGTAATTGCAAGCTATGCGCTGTTATATATAATGTAGTTAAGCAATCACAATATGGGTATGACGGATTTATATATATCTATGTACATTAAATGGGTTAATCGCAATATATGGTTTACATATTTACTAAAAGGCACATTTAGCTACAACGTAATTAACTGTGGGCCTCTTTATTTGCTAAAGTTCTACTTTTTCTTTCTGTATAAAGTTGATTTGCGCAATCATGCCGCGGAGACAATAAAAGAAATTGAAAAGATTGGTTTCTTTTTGTGGCAGAAAACGACGATATCCACCTCATTTCTAATCCAATAAAGGGATAAAGGATTACATTGTAAATCAGACATGTAATGCTTTTTTAATTGATGATCATGTGAATTTAGTGAAAAGTCCCTTAAAAGTAAAAACAATTAATGCCGCGTATGATGTATATTACGTGTAGTGGATATACACGTGTAGTGTAGTGGATATACACGTATTATAGTGTAGTGGATATACACGTGTTATAGTGTAGTGGATATACACGTGTTTTAGTGTAGTGGATATACACGTGTTATAGTGTAGTGGATATACACGTGTTATAGTGTAGTGGATATACACGTGTTATAGTGTAGTGAAACATGAATGCATGAATCATCAATACTGTATTGGCAGTTATTGGCGTTAAAAAAAATCGACATCAGAAATCGACAGTGAAATCTACAGCTTTCAGAAACAAAAAATGGGCAAATTCCCGAATACGCCTCTGATCGACATGAACAGCTTTTTTATTTTCAGCAGGGGTACAGCGTATACAAGGGTACACAATAAAGATAAACTTTAACCATATAAAGGCTGGGGGGGGGGGTCTGCCCCCCCCAGCCTGTGTAGGGTTAAAGACGACATAAAACTCTTTTACTATACCCAAACTTAGTTTCCTGCTTTAATTAGAGTCTTTTATCCATTAAATGATTTATGCAAAACAATTAAGAAACTTAACAGCAATATAGAAATGTAACAAAAAAGATAAGTGATTAGTGAAACAAAGGATAAATTTGTTAGAATTGAACCATTTTCAGACAGAAAAAACTACGAGGCCAACGCCTCACTGTTCCACAGAAAAAGTCTTTAAGGGTGCAATTTCAAATAGAACATGCAACTATTTAAAATGGGGGTGGGGGTAATTAAAATTCCTTCTACAGTCCCTTCAAAATAGTTTTTTTTTTACAAAAATAAGAAATGAAATTACCTTCGGAGCACAGGAGCGAGTATTGGTGCCGAGGATAACATGCTTGAGACAATAGTATTCAGTTTCAGGGTTCATAGTTGTTGTTACAGGAGCTGGCGTTACAGCCTGCCTTTTCTTCCTGAACATTTATTAAAAATAGTAATAACAATAATTATGATCTTATCACTAATAAGATTAACAATAGTAAAAATAATCATATTAATAATCATGATAATAATAATAAAAATAATAATCATGATAATAAGCAATCACATTAGCTATGTCAACCAGACAATAGCAATTAATCGATCAATGTCTTAAACAGGGCACGTTCCACACGGCTACATTTCTTTGAACTATAATAATAATAATAATAATAATAATCATAATAATAATAATAATAATCATAATAATAATATTAATAATAATAATAATAATAATGATATAATAGTAATAATGATTATAATAATAAAAATAATAATTTACATTCACCGAAACCCTCAATTAAAAATTATCAACGTTAAGAAACCTCAACATTCAGGATAAATTAATAATCTCTGTAATAGGATACATACAGTACCAATGTGAATCAGGCAAGCCAATCATCACTTAAAATTGCTTGATAGTTCCTTTATATTCTAACCTGCCGAGGGTATTGCTGATCTGGTTGATCCCGCTGCTGACCAGACCTCCAGCATTAGCAGAGAATATAGAGGAGTAGTTAGACACACTTCCCTGATATTCAGGTATTAAAGAGAATATAGAGGAGTAGTTAAAATTCAGTGATGGTGATGGACCAAACCTCTGTAGAGTAAAAAAGTAGATGTTAGTTCCACATTTATTGAAAATATATTTCGGTCTGGGTTGACCCTCGTCAGTTCTTGAGATTGTTTCTTCACAAAGATTAAAAACAAACTGAGGAGTAGTTAGATACGCTTCCCTGATATTCAGGTATTAAAGAGAACATAGAGGAGTAGTTAGACACGCTTCCCTGATATTCAGGTATTAAAGAGAATATAGAGGAGTAGTTAAATACGCTTTCCTGATACTCAGGTATTAAGGAGAATATGGTGGAGCAGTTAGATACACTTCCTTGATATTCAGGTATTAAAGAGAACATAGAGGAGTAGTTAGACACACTTCCTTGATGTTCAGGTATTAAAGAGAATATAGAGAAGTAGGTAGACACGCTTCCCTGATATTAAGGTATTAAAGAGATTATAGAGGAGTAGTTAGATACGCTTCCCTGATATTCAGGTATTAAAGAGAATATAGAGGAGTAGTTAGACACACTTCCCTGATATTCAGGTATTAAAGAGAATTTATTGCATTAATTTGGAATTTATTGCAGTGTTTATTGTACTTTCTGTGCACTGTAAACAACTTATCTTGTTGAAATGTTGGTTCAATAACAAGGTTGGCTGAATGGGAGGATGAGTGGGGGGGGGGANGGGTGTTTTTGTGAATTGTAAGAAGATGGATTCAGTCTTGGGAAAATGGAGATTTTTATATCAGTCTCCTATAATGTGTTTAAGATACATGTAAATGTAATTGGCTGTGCTAATGTATTTGTCTGGCCCCTTAAAAAAAAACTACTTATATTGTGACGTATGTAAAACTTGTTGATGAAAAAGTTTCAAACTAGTATGTTTAAGTTATAATGTGGATTGTATGATTAGTTGCCTAAGTTTTATGCAATGTTTAACTTTCAGTCTTCATTGCATGATTCCCAGGTTCATTTTATCCAACTTGAAACTGCATTTATTCCAGCAAACTTAATTCAAGGACAAAAAGTATGAAAACTTAAACGTTTTAAACCAAAAATGTATAACTTGTAAATTTGAAGCCCAGTTGGAATCTTTTGATTGGAAGGAATCTGTAAAACTCTCTTTAAGGGGAGATTAACTAATCCATAACTTTGCCGATTGAAACTCTTAAAAGGACTGTAAAGGAAAAATGAAAGGGGGTATATAGTTTTATAATCAATTTCTCGAGACAGGAACATCAGATAGATCTCTCATGGGTCTTGATCAACTCCTAAAATGTTTAGGTTTCAGCCTCTTCCATTTTTCCTGAACAGTCTCTTAAATGAAGGAAAAGGTTTATCTCATTTTCTAAGTTAAAAAGTTTTTAGATCCGTGGTCACAAAAATTTAATAGATGAAAGTTTTGAAGTATATCTTTTTTTCTGATATTTTTTCTAAATGAAGTTTTAATTATATTTTATTTGGCTTACCACTAGACCTTCAACACTTGCTCTAAAATTAAAACAATCAATTTGATAATTATTTCAAATTTTGTTTATCTGCAACTTAAATTAATTTTTTGGAAAATGATAAAATTTAATTTTTTGGAAAATTAATTAATATTCCTATTAATAGCATTGTTAATTTAATAGTTAAACTTCTTAATCTTTATATTTGAAACTCTTGTTTAAAAAAATCCTTATAATTAATAAATTGTTTTAATTTTTGTTATTATATATTCAAAAATTCAAAAATAAATTAGTTGTTTGATTTTTTTTTTGATTGCTTGGTCTCCCTCATAGTAGTCCAGTCTCCTTTGCAGTCCAGGTCCTTGGTAAGTGGTCCAACTCCCACCTTACACTTGATACACTCCCCACCTATAGGTTAACAAGATAAACAGTACTCCTATATACTTGATACACTCCCCACCTATAGGTTAACAAGATAAACAGTACTCCTATATACTTGATACACTCCCCACCTATAGGTTAACAAGATAAACAGCACTCCTATATACTTGATACACTCCCCACCTATAGGTTAACAAGATAAACAGTACTCCTATATACTTGATACACTCACCACCTATAGGTTAACAAGATAAACAGTATACTCCCCTTACACTTGATACACTTAATTTTGAAGTTTTATTTTAAATGGATTTTAAATTCATTCTGGACTGTTGCAAATATCGATTATATTTCTTGAATATATGGCAATTAATCAGAATAGAATAGTTGTTTTTTATAGTTCATTTTTACATAAAACTTTCGGATTATAACAAAAATTATGGATTTTCTTAATTATGTCTTAGATATGTTTTAAAACATAAGAAACGTTCGACAAACATAAAACTTTTCTCATCTGTTCTGTTCATAGTCATTAATAATCATTTGTATGTTTAATAATCCAGTGAGAATAGTTAGTTTGTTTTGTAAATAAATCTATATTTTGATCAAAAATAAAAAGAATAAATGAAAATATGTAAGGAACTTAACAGTTGACACAAACTCAAATGTTGTGAGTACGCAAGACCAATAGAATAGCAAAGGCGGGAAGATCTATCTATCTGTCTATTAAAATCTTATAATCCAATTAGAGGTCCATATGTAAATTAGCGGCGAAGACGAATGGATTTCTTCACTTACATCCAAATTACGACTAAGGTTGCAAAGATAGAAGGAGAAGAAAATTCGAGTTGGTATCCAGTGTTCAAATTCTTTACTTAATTCACAAAAATATATTCAGAACTTTAATGTCATATAAGGATATAAGGAAAATGTATACAAACAAACTCACCAACAAACAGAAGAGACAGAACAAGGAAGGAGGTCTTTAATTCCATTTTTTGTTCTGAAACACGTTATTGTCATAGTTATTAGTTGTTATTTTCTGAATGTTTAGAGTGTTTTAAAGCTCTGTTGTTTCGTTGTCTGTTCGATATTTAGTTACTTCAACCTAAAGTAAATTCCACATCATGACTAAAATCATATTTAATCATATTCATAACTCATCGTATTGAAGATCAAAAAGTTTTGATTTTCTAAAATGTAAATTAGCTTTTCTCATACAGTGATAACCAGAAAACTCTGGAATAGGAAGATGACTTTATAGCAATACTTTAGTGTATTTTATCATACAGTGATAACCAGAAAACTCTGGAATAGGAAGATGACTTTATAGCAATACTTTAGTGTATTTTATCATACAGTGATAACCAGAAAACTCTGGAATAGGAAGATGACTTTATAGCAATACTTTTAAGTGTATTGGATGTTGTTACAAAGCAAATAGTTTTACTAGACATTTAATAAATTACTTATTAATTGAAATGGGTCTGTTTACACTGAACAGATGATGTAACCCATGCTTATATGAATATTTAAAGTCATTTTGAACCTAAAAGTCGTCTCCCTTTTTCAGAGTTTTCTGGTTATCGCTGTACTTGTGCAAAATCAAAACTATAGGAGATACGAGGTCAAAAAGTCATATTAGTAATGTTGCGTAATTTGGAATTTCTCCTTCATTTTAGTTTGCAGGATACTAATCTCTGAACCCTTGAACCCCTGGAGTAAGAACTTATACTTCAATCCGAACCTAAACCCTTAATCCCTGCTCCTCAGTTTGGAGTAAGAACGGATACTATTCTCCGAACTCTTGAACCCTACTCCATAGCTTGGAGTAAGAACGGATACTATTCTCCGAACCCTTAAACCCTACTCCATAGCTTGGAGTAAGAACGGATACTATTCTCCGAACCATTGAACCCTACTCTGTAGCTTGGAGTAAGAACAGATACTATTCTCTGAACCCTTAAACCCTACTCCATAGCTTGGAGTAAGAACGGATACTATTCTCCGAACCCTTGAACCCTACTCCATAGCTTGGAGTAAGAACGGATACTTTTCTCCGAACCATTGAACCCTACTCCGTAGCTTGGAGTAAGAACGGATACTATTCTCCAAACCATTGAACCCAACTCTGTAGCTTGGAGTAAGAACGGATACTATTCTCCGAACCATTGAACCCTACTCCGTAGTTTGGAGTAAGAACGGATACTTTTCTCCGAACCATTGAACCCTACTCCGTAGCTTGGAGTAAGAATGGATACTTTTCTCCGAACCCTTAAACCCTACTCCGTAGCTTGGAGTAAGAACGGATACTTTTCTCCGAACCCTTGAACCCTACTCCTTTACTACGCAGCTTGGAGTAAAGACGTTATACTAGACCCTTAAACCCTGCTCCGACCAACACTGAGTTTTAACTACTCAGCCACTGATCATTCAACCATTCTAACCCATCTAAAACCATCCTTAAACCACTCCTTTCTCAAATATTCGGAATTAGGATTCAATCAAATCCTTTATTGTACTCTTCCCAAATTGTATATTTTACACATTTTATAGAATTATTTTTTATTTTAACAACAAACTTTAAATATATAATTAGTCAGTTTCCATTTTTTTTATAAACAAAAAAAATAAAATTTTTCTTTAATATTTAGTAAAGAATATTTATTATTAAAGAATTAAAACCCGTATTTTCCAGTAGTTATGCTGGGATACCCCCCCCCCCCCCCCCCAATACACTTTCTTCGGTAAGGTTTCCATGACGAAAGCCCGGGTTGATACCTCCCAGTGCAGCCAGGTTACCCCCGTAATAAAAATCCTCGAAAAAAGTTTCGGCACGCTTCGGGGATTTTTTCAGGGAAAAAGTTTTACGTCACAGCAGAGTAATTCAACAGTTAAATGCGTCACGAACGACAACAAATAAATGAATAATTTTTATTGGCGCACCTGTCTCCTAGGATTGCATAGACAAGAGGGGGGAGGGGGGGATAAAGAAAGGGGGGAGATGATAGGGGGAAATAAAGAAATAACAAGTTGGGGAATATTGGTGGGGAAAGGTAGCCAGGGGACTTTTTTTAATGGAATCAATTTTTTTTTTGGTAAGTCGGAGTTCAAAATGGGCTTTTACTTTCTAATATTAGCATTCAATGTTATAATTCAACTTTTAACTTTTCAAGAGATTTTTATTACATTTTTGTTTACAGTATATGCAACGTTGTTACACTGGTACACATCGAGAAAATAAGAAAATCAAATCTTTTTAGTTAATAACTTTTGTAAACAGCTTGGAACCCCATCTTTGCCTGGATTTCTCTATAAAAGTCGACAAACTCTACTCAGAATTTGTAAAACCAAGCCAACATTACCAGGGTTCTGTCAAACTCATGAGTTAAGATCGAGAATACAAACAGACAAACGTACAAACAATTAGAGATTACTGCTTTATATATGGAGAATATAAACAGACAAACTTACAAACAATTAAAGATTACTGCTTTATATATGGAGAATACAAACAGACAAACGTACAAACAATTAGAGATTACTGTTTTATATATGGAGAATATAAACAGACAAACTTACAAACAATTAGAGATTACTGCTTTATATATGGAGAATACAAACAGACAAACGTACAAACAATTAGAGATTACTGCATACGAATAAATGGGGGTTTATTCCATAATATAACACTTTCCAAGCTATAAAAACGACGATATTTTACACATTATTGATCTGATAAAGATGTGAATCAACGGAGGGCCACTTAAAGGTAAAAAAAATGCCCCGTTACTTGTTTCAATCCTACATTGCAACAAACAGGAAATATCAGAATTAAAAAAGAAGAAGAGATTTGAAGAATTCTGAACCAATGTATAGATAAGAAAAATGTACGGACAATTTCTAATACCACTTCCCCGGTTTTCGGAGTTCATGGATTCCCCTTCCAACCACCAGGGAGAGGGTCCCGGGGACCTAAGAACACTGTAATACTATTAAAATAATATTGTACAATTTTGTAATTATCTTTTATAACAACCTTTTTAAAGTTAAAAAAAAATTGTTAAAAAAAATTGTTTCAATCCTACTGCATCCTATAACCAATCGTCTTTTAACTGTTCTAAAGATTAACTCATCTATCTTTTGAAGCAAACATTTCTAGATTTGTTTATGCTATACATTACATTTCTAGATTTTGTTTATGCTACACATTACATTTCTAGATTTTGTTTATGCTATACATTACATTTCTAGATTTTGTTTATGCTATACATTACATTTCTAGATTTTGTTTATGCTATACATTACATTTCTAGATTTTGTTTATGCTATATGTACATTCTGAAGAAAGTACTACCAATGAATGAGAGTTTGGGCTTAGGACTTTCAACCCTCGTGCATCGGGGACGCCATGTTCCCGATTGTTTTGTAGATCTGCATTGTATTCAAAGTCATCGACAAAACCCAGCATTTGTTTTTATGATGTATCCAATATTTATATTTCAAAAAGTTGTTATATAATTCCATTAAATACAGACACAGTGTGTCCCACGAAACATGATAGTTGGTAAATAGTTTAGAATGTCTTCTTCCATAATTTGTTAAGTTGTTAAATATCTTCTCCAACTTATCAACAGAGTTCAGCAAGATTTTGCAAGAGTTGCCATTGAATTCTCCTCCATGAAGTCCATGGGGTTTTGGACGTTTTAAAGAAGCCCCTTAAAAATCTATGAAAGTTCCAACATTTTAAAACTGCTAGTTCGCCTTTTATAATACTGTGCAAAATTTCTATCCTATATGGGAAAAAAATTAAGGTTTTAGCTTTTTTCTCTCAGGATTAAAATATGACAAAGGTAATATATAATAAACTATTTAACATTTTTAAAAACTTCTCTTATTTTTTGTTGAGCCTGTTACGGAGTCTAAAACCGAACGAAATGAGTTTGATTAAAACACTGAATTAATGTTTAATCAAACCAGTAATTTCTGGTTAAAATCCTCAAACATAATTAAAAACAACTCGGGTTCTTTTCCAATACTGTTCAAATATAAAACACTTTAGTAATGTAAATAACAATTTGTCCTCAACACGACTGAACCGCTTGCACCCAAAGTTTCCTCCGGATACTGCACATGACTTTGAAGAATATGGGTATGGCTTGTCGAAATTTAAGAATTTCTTCAAAAAATGTAATTTTAAACAATTTTTTTGTAAATCCGCCAATAAAAGCAGAAAACTCGGCGAGATTTGTAGTTTATATGAAGAAATTAAAGCCAACATCTATATAATACTTCGTAGGGAGGATGTAAAAAATGGTAAAAAATATGTTAACACACCTTAAAAAAGTTGGAATTTTTTCTTCAAAATTCTATTATTTTATTTTACGGGCAACGCCGGGCACTTCAGAGAGTTACTAATAAAAAACAAGACACAAATATTGCTCTTATTATAGCCTATTGTTAAAACTAATTTTGACTGACAATTCCTCAAAAATTATTTACTTGTCATTCTTCATTACACCCTCTACAACACATTCTGCAGATATGATATTCCCTAAAATTCCCCTGTCCAGCATTAAAGCTATTCAATAGAATATTCAAGATTGTTAATAAATTATTTGAATAAATAGAACTTAATTATACAAATCAATTAATTTGAAAATACTAGACTGTAAGACTTCTTTCTAAACATGTTGACAGGTAATAGATAAAGTTACATCGTCTATACGCAATGGCCCTCTTCTAAACTTCCGACCTACTGCAATATCCTACCTACGACAGCTTTTTTATTTTCTATTATTTCAGGGTTAGGTTGGGTTTAGACAATTTCTGGACCGAGCACTACGGCTAGGACAGGCTATAGGCCGGGCCACATGTTCAGCTTACTGCTGAAAACCACGTGCTAGTAGGTCAGAAGTGGAATATAGCGGATATGCATAGGTCGAAAGATACACCATCCGTCCATTTGTCAACAATCAACACTTCAAAAATTTGTTTTATTTAAGGCTAAATCACTAGGTTCTTCTGGACTCTTTAACAAATTTCTTTTTAAAAACCTTTTTTGAACTTTCTGATTTATTTTGAGGTCATTTTTTCTGACTTTCAAGGGGTATGATTGATTGTAATACATCCGTCCTAAGATACTAAAGACCTACCCGTACGAGGTTTTTCAGTAGCTTCAAGCTGCTGTTGGTCCGATGTACTGTAGGTCGGTTGCCGATCTTTCTTAAGTTGATTGCACTCTTAGGTCGGATGCACAATATTAGTAGGTCGGATGCACAAAATTTCTCCAATCTTTTTAAATTGTATCCTAGAAAATAAAGGACTAGTGCAAGGTTTTGTCAAAAATGGCTACTTCTTTGAACTAGATTTGAGTTATTGATAGAAAATCCATTACGTCGGCTCAAATTATTCTTTGCATTTATTTTCTTAGTAAATTCAAGTTTATTAATTGTAATTTGACTAATTCTCCTTTTCGGAACGATTTTTATGCAACATAAATCTTCTATCGAGTTTTGAACTTTAACTCATTAAATATATAATAAAACAGAGAGTAAAAATGAAAATATCAAAGTAATTTATTTTACATGAAAAGAATAAGTTGTTATTATAAATGTATTTCACGTTTAATAATTTTATTTACGACTATTTACATCATTAATCAGTACAAGCTTACGTTTTTAATAAAAAATTAAATTTCAATATTTCAGTCAATCTTTAAAATGTGGTCCTCAATTTATCAACATGGTCAAGGCCTTTACCCGGCTCTCTACAGCTGTTATCTGTCATATAATAGAAAGAGGACAGCTTTAATTTGTCTAAATCTTCTTAGATCGTCTGGCACGCAGCTGTCGTTTGACAGTGCTGTGAGGGCTGTCTACACTCTCAGAATCCGTGGGAGGAGTGAAAACCTGGAATAAACAAGTTTGAAATTTTTGGAAATTTTGAAATTTTTGTCAAAAAATATATTTAAACTACCAAATAATAACATAAATTTGTACTTCAGTTGGGCCGTATTAATATTTTATGTTATGTAAGTAGTTCAAATTTAGAAAGGTATTAATACACGTCATCCAGAAGTAAATAATACTTTCACAGGTTTCATTCAGTTGACGACATTTCTCTCTATGAAAGGCATGTGCTATGCTACATTAACTACTGTTCTGTGAACTACCGATTTTATGAACACTTAATCATTTAAACTGGGCATAAGTTTTTTAATTAAACGTTGGTTTAAAGAGAATTATTGTGGTAAAAACATTGTGCTCATTTGAATTAAATTTTTTTATTTAAATACAGAAAATGAATACCTCAAATGAATAAAACGTGAAAGTTACGAAAAAACAACAAACTTGTTATTGGAACTTCTGGAAATAAAACGATGCCATTTGTTTAAACACTCAATAATTCATAGGATTAGTATTTCAAATTACAGTAGTCAAAATTTACGATCACTTAATGATTAAAATGTCGTCGTGTTCTTTCTGTCATTCGCTAGCTAGGTGTTTGTAGAGTCTAGACTATGTGGAAAGAAATATAGCATTTACTTTAAGAAAAATAAGAACCAATGGAAATTTATTGTAAAAATAATACACTTCGAAAAATGTATTGGCGCAGAATTTCTTCTGGAAAGTTATTGAGGCGTAAATCTTCCAATCTTGAAGTCATCTCTAGATTGTTTAACTGACTGACACATCTGCCGAACCCAATGTAATTTGCTTTTTATCAGGAATTTTTACATCTTCCTTTAACAGGCTTTCCCCCCCCCCCCAAATTTCAGTCTTCTCGGGTTTAACCTCGAAGGATTTATCAATGGTAAACTCGAGGGCGTCACCCAAGAGTTTTCATTGAACTCCGAGGGGTTTAAATGTCCATTTGTGCCTATTTTTCTGCGAGTAAATGACATACCTTTGTAAAAAGCTGGTTTTAAACATTGACCTGCTTAAATAAGTTATCAAGTTAGCAGAAATCAATGAAAGTTCCCAACTCTTTACAAAGAAATTTACAATCATATTTTGTTCTCTTTTAATGGTCGCATTCAGTGCAATACAATGAACTTCATACGAATTCAATTATCAACTTAAAAACAAACAAAAAAATTATAAAATGACTTGAGACTACAATCAACTCTTAATCTGTATTCCAATTTTAATTTAGTTAATGAGTTAGTAAATTTTAACTTTCAAACGATCAAATAGTTTTTTAAATTCACCTCATTAACTTGAGGGGTACCGGAGTAGAGACGTCGTCTTTTCCTGTTCATAGGGGTCAGGGTATCTAAATATTTATTATAAAAGGTTACAAGTTTAATAGTACTTTTCCTATCCATAGGGGTCAGGGTATCTACATATTTATTATACAAAGTTAGGCTAGGCTAGAGGACAACCCATCATTCAATGAAATAGGGTGGGCGCTCCTAGCCGCCGAAACGTATCCATGAACTGAACGAGCCGTGTCACCCTAGGGAGAAGACTTATACTAGGCGATCCGCCCAAAACAGCTCTATATTAAAATCATTGACATTTATACAGTTTCATTTTAATATAATTAAAAAAGTAAGAGGTAAGTATTTCAATATCTCGCCTTACCTGAAGTAGCTGGCGGTTTAAGTTCATTAACTGGAGACAGTTGTTTTTCCTTCAATGCACGCTTCTTAGATCCTGATCTATCTATTTCATAAACTTCCTAGAATATACATATTTTATCACCTATTCACACACTTGTTATAAGATTAAATTCTGTATAAAATACTATATCGCCTCACTCCCAGGGCACAGGTGGCTGATCATCGCGGATTTTTCATATTGGCGGATTTGCTATTCTATAAGCTGTTTAAAAAGTCTCAATTTATAGTGAACAAAATTAAGAAAGGTGAAAGCTGAAAGGTGGTAAAGGAAGCCTTTTATTTGATAGAGTTTGTTAATCCCAGAAATAATCCATTGTGCATTGCATTGCAACGTATCGTGATGCACTGCACTGCACTGCACTGCACTGCACTGCACTGCACTGCCACTGCCACTGCATCGTGATTTGTTTCATATCACCGTCTCGTGATGCATTGTATTGCATCATATACGAACCTGAAAACTAACATTCTTCCTGGTTTGTCTAACCCTAGGTTTCCTTCCAACTTTACTCCTGCTGGATTCAGGTTCGTTTTCTGTGTTTGAATCCTCGAAACTGGCGAGACTGGAGGTTCGAGTACTTCGGTTCCCTCGACCCCGTCCTCGACCTAGAAAAATCAACGAGGTTAAAGTGCTCGGGGGTGATTTCGAAAAATATTTAAATGGAGAATTTGTTTCCTATGTAACTATTAAAATCCACTACTCCTTTATCGTATGCAAGATTCCATTTTCACAGGAAGACAAACTATTACAGTCTTTTACAGAGCAATATTTCATCGTTAATGAACTGGTCTGAGAAAACTGAGTAAAGTTCAAGATACAAAACCTCCCCATACACTTGTACTCTGAAAGCGTACTGCATATTTGATGTTTGTACTTTATAAATATGCCATAATCTCTTAATATCAATTATCAGTAAACTATCCCTAGTGTACACTCAGGCTAATACACAGGGAAAGGTAGCTAAGATCCAGCCCCCTGAGAAAAGTTCATACTATTAAAAATATCTTATTTCTAAAACTTTACCCTATCCCTTAACCGCCAACCATTTTAGATTAAAGAAAAATTAACAGGTTTAGACAAAGCCATATATTTTCGTGAACATTATTTCTGTGTATAATTATGAAAAAGTTTATTCAATTAGAAAGTTAAAATTTCAAATGTAGCAGCATTGCAAGAACAAAATATAATTTTATTGGATATTTTTTTTAATTTAAAGTTTAAAAGTGAAAACGTGTGTTCTTGTTCAACAACTTCTTGCAATTTATTAAAGCGGTCCCAGGAGAACTCAACTACTTTACAGGGAAGTTAAGGGAATTTTATTAAACCAATGGTTCCCAAGAACAATTTTGCCTACACAAATCCAGAGCGCAGCAAGGGATGTTTTGTAGGCAAAATTGGTTGAGGGAACCCTTGGCTAAGTAAAATTTTTAATTTTCCGAAAAAGTAGTTGCACACAATTTCATCGTCTTTTAAGATGAAAATGCGGGAATTTTTTGACGAAAACCCCACAGAGCGGGCCGCAATTTTTTTTATTTGTCCCTAGGGGCATAAAGTAACTTAACGTCCCTCTGACGGGGGAATCATAGGTTGGTAATGTAGGTGAAGCGCGGTATAAATGTTGTTAAGTAGAGAATTCTAGAATTGGCGGCAATATAAGACCGAGATACCTGGTCGCTTGACGCATGGGGTTATTTCTAAGAGACTATAATCAGATTTGCTGTCGTCTGCTTCTAGGGTAGATGCATCAGTTCCAGTTAACAATAGTCCACTGCTTCTACAAGAGTTCCCAGTCTAAACAAGTCAAATTTGAGATTTGAGAAAATATATGTACGCAATTTTAAGTGACCCTTATTTCTGGAGAGACAATTCAGAAAGGTGCCATTCAAACATTTTTAAAAAAAAACTTTTAAATATTAGTCTGATCCAAGAATTGACCCTAGGGACAATATAGACCAACACGCAGCAGAAGATGTACATTTAAACTTAGAAACATTCTGAAATTATTAAAAATCATGAACACTAATCATAAGGGAGTCGATTTTTAAATTCTTTTTTCTAGATAGATGACAATTTGGGTATCTTAAGCTGAGCAATCATGGAATATTGCAAATTTGTTGGTAATTTGAAATTATAATAATTGGCTTGATTTAGTGTAACAATAAAACCGCTCTTTTTTCTGGAGTACTCTTGCAAAAATACACTTAAGTCTATTTTTGCCTAGAAATATGTTGTTTAAGTTTTAGCATATCTTTATGATTTTGAATTCAGTGTTTCAAGACGAATTTTTAAAAACCCATATCGACAAAAAAACAAATATTTTCGCTTGCACTAGCGAGTTCATAATTTGCAAAACTGTGTTGCTAAATGAAAATGAAAGTAATCATTGTTGATCCATTTTTTATAATAGAAATGAATGCCGGAAATAACCTTTTTTTTTCTAGTGAATTTTTTTAAAAACCGCGTTTACTCAAAATATTTTGAATTCTAAGAATTTTAGTTCTGGTACTATCTAACCCCAACCAAATTGAATAGGATGTTGATAGTTTTGAAAATTTCCTGTGACTGCCGATAACATTTACAGGAAATCAGGAAATCAGGAAATCTAACATGCTCCGTTTCAACAAATAAAATAGCTAACATTCTTTCCAGAATATACAGGGGATACCCGCGGATGAAACTATAAAAAAGGCTTTAAACTCTTCAAATATGACGATCCCAAGATTAAATGCAACGAGGTTATAGTATATAGAGTGATGGTGTACGCTAATCCTTTACTAATTGTACAGGCCATGTCCTTCGCTTCCAAAGGTCAATCTGTATATTACAGTACTCAGGGGTGATTTCTGAAAATATTTAAATGCATAATTTGCTGTCAATGTAACTATTAAAATCCACTACTCCTTTATCGTGTGGAGGATTAAATTTTCACAGGAAGACGTACTTTTACAATCTTTTACAGAGCAATATTTCATCGTTAATAAACTGAGTAAAATTCAAGATACAAGACCTCCCCATACACTTGTACTCCGAAAGCGTACTGCATATTTGTTCTTTGCACTGTATGAATAGGCCATACTCTCTTAAAAATATTTATTAGTAAACTATCCTAATTATACACTCAAGCTTATACACGTGGACAGGTAGCTAAGATCCAGCAACACTGATTAAATAAAATCTTCTTCCTTGAATGTGGCCTTCATATGGCGTATTAATGGTTTTGTCAACGAAAAAAGCAGGTATTTATAAATGTAATGAAATTTAAATTCCGAACAGTCGTCTCTGAAGTGTCATCCTTTTAGGTAACCCTGTAAGTAGCTGATAAAGTTATCAATCTATCTATCTATACCTGGTCTTGTAAATGTTTATTAGTCTCCCTGTATTCCTGTATTGTCAGCTCACTAGCTTTCTTCAGTCTTTTCAGCTCACGCTCATGCGATGCTTTACTTTCATCCTGTACAATATATTTAGTCAGTGTACAGTATATTTAGTCAGTGTACAGTATATGTAGTCAGTGTACAGTATATGTAGTCAGTGTACAGTATATTTAGTCAGTGTACAGTATATTTAGCCAGTGTACAGTATATTTAGTCAGTGTACAGTATATGTAGTCAGTGTACAGTATATTTAGTCAGTGTACAGTATATATAATCAGTATAATCAGTATATGTAGTCAGTGTAAAGTATATTCAGTTAGTGTACAGTATATGCAGTGAGTGTACAGTATATATAATCAGTGTACAGTATATATAATCAGTGTACAGTCTAAATAATCAGCGAACAGTATATGTAGTCAGTGTACAGTCTTCAGTGTAAAGTATTTGTAGTCAAAGTTCAGTACTCAATGTACTCAATTCAGTGTACACAATTCAGTGTACATAATTCGGTGTACAGTTTAAAGTGTACATTATACAGTGCTCAGAATTCAGTGTACAGTATTCAGAATCAGAGTACAGTTTACAGAATTCAAAGTACAGAAAACAGTATAAAGAATTCAGTGTACAGCATTCAGTGTACTATATTGAGTTAACAGTAATCAGTACACAGAATTTAGTGTATATAACTCTGTGCACACTCAGTGTACAGACTACAGATTAAAGAATTCAGAGCACAGACTACTTCAGTATTCAGAATTCAGTATACAGATAACAGTTAAAAAATTCAGTGAACAGAATTTTGTGTAAGGAATTCATTGTACAGAATTTTCTGTACGGAATTCATTGTACAGAATATAGTGTGCAGTATTCCGTGCAAAGTATACAGTGTGTAGAATTTATTGTACAGACTACACTTTAAGAATTCAGTGTACAGAATACAGAATTAAGTATACAGAATATAGTGTAGAGTCCTCAGTGTACAGTATTCAGTGAAAAGTATTCAGTGTACAGTATTCAGTGTACAGTATTCAGTGTGCAGAATACAGTGCTCAGAATTTAGTAACGAATATCAGTGTACAGAAAACGGTATAAAGAATTCAGTGTACAGTATTTAGTGTACAGCATTTAGTGTGCAAAATTCAGTGTACAGAGTACAGTTTAAAGAATTCAATGCGAAGAATTCAGTGTTTGAAATTCAGTGTACAGACTTCATTTTAAAGAATTTAGTGTACAGCCTACAGTTTAAAGAATTCAGAGTTTAAACTACAGTTTAAAGAATTTAGAGTACAGACTACGTTTAAACATTTCATACAAACTACGCTGTAAAGAATTCAGTGTACAGAATACAGTGTGTGCAGAAATAAGCATACAGAATATATTGTACAGTATTCAGTGAACAGTATAGTGTACAGCATTCAGTGCACTAAATTCAGTTAAAAGAATTCAGTTTAAAGAATTCAGTGTACAAAATTAAGTGTACAGAATTCTGTGTACAGACTACATTTAAAGAGATCAGGGAACAGAATACTGTTTAAAGAATTCAGTTTGCAGAATTCAATGTACAGTTCACAGTGTTCAGTATGCAGTGCTCAGAATTTAGTGTACAGAAAACAGTATAGAGAATTCAGTGTACAGAATTCAGTGTATAGCATTCATTGTACAGCATTTTTTAGTGTACTGAATTCAGTGTAAAGAATACAGTTTAAAGAATACAGTTTAAAGAATTCAGTGTACTGAATTCAGTGTACAAAATACAGTGTACAGAACTCAGTATACAGAATTAAGTATACAGAATATAGTGTACTGAATTCAGTGTACAGAATACAGTGTACATAATTCAGTATATAGAATAAAGGTAAAGAATTCAGTGTACAAAATTCCGAATACAGTATTCAGTGTACATATGAGTATACAGTTTGCAGATTTCAGTTAAATTGAGTGTACAGTATTCAGTGTACAGAATATAGTGTACAATATTTTGTGTACAGTATTTAGTATACAATATACAGTTAACAGATCATAGTGAACAGAATTTCAAAAGAAAAATTTATGTTTAATTGTCCAAATTGTGATCGAAAATGAAAGCTTGCTGTGATAAGCATAGAACAGTTAAATTTCCGTGTACACTGTACAGTTTTATTTTAGTAGACAAAAACTGCAAAAAAAGGTTTAAATAAAACCTGAAGCTTTTGAAGTTGTGACACCTCAGATCTAAGTTCTTGGTTTTCTTCTTCAATCTTGTGCAACCGATTTTTTAGTTCCTAATCACAATCACAATCACAATCACAATAATCACAATCACAATCACAATAATCACAATCACAATAAACATTAACATTAACATTAACATTAACATTAACATTAACATTAACATTAACATTAACATTAACATTAACATTAACATTAACATTAACATTAACATTATCATCATCATTATCATTATCATTATCATTAACATTTGTCAGTAGCGTACTAAACTTGTAAAATTCTTATCCTTGGAGATAAAATAAACCAAGAATTTAAAATAAGAGAAAATTAAGAAATATTGAAAACAACAATAATACCTTAAACTCTGCACTATTCTTGGTTGGAGTAGCTTTAGCCATTGCTTCCCCTAGTAACACAGTGTCTCCAGATCTTGAAATAATAAATACACGATTAGATTAGATCAGATTCGTTAGATTAGTTAGATTCAATAGATTAGTTAGATTAGTAGATAAGTTAGATTAGTTAGATTAGTTAGATTCGTTAGATTAGTTAGATTCGTTAGATTAGTAAGATTCGTTAGATTAATTAGTTTAGTTAGATTCGTTAGATTTTTTAGATTCGGTAGATTCGTTAGATTCGTTAGATTCGTTTGATTCGTTTGATTCGTTTGATTCGTTTGATTCGTTAGATTCGTTAGATTCGTTAGATTCGTTAGATTCGTTAGATTCGTTAGATTCGTTAGATTCGTTAGATCTGTAAGATTTGTAAGATTAGTTAGATTCGTTAAATTCGGTAGATTAGCTAGATTAGTTAGATTAATTAGTTAGATTTATTAGTTAGATTAGTAAGATTAGCAAGATTCGTTAGATTCGTTAGATTGGTTAGATTGGTTACATTGGTTAGATTGGTTAGATTGGCTAGATTGGCTAGATTGGCTAGATTAGTTAGATTGGTTAGATTCGACCAGACCAGACCAGACCATTTTGCAGAACTGAAGCAGGGAATCTCTAATATAGATATAGAAAATATCCATGAACAGGGTTACTCAAAAAGCAGGAGACGTCAGAAATAATTCTTAAAACATTAATGATTCCCTGTAGCTGTAAACTTGGTTCTTTATTTGCCAAATAATTTACCATTTAGCGTACCACTTATACCCTTTTAAAGGCAGAAAATCGAATCGAACATTCATCTTCTATAAATAAAAATGATAAATGTCCGATCATAACTCAGGAACCCCAAGTCCTATTTCCCTCAAATTCGGATTAGAAAACCGATAGAACCAGAAACGTCCTTAGCTTGGTTTACAAACTTAAAAATATAAAAGGAAAGTTAAGTTAAGCATGTTTTGTGTATTCATTTGTTCTTTGTGGGACACCCTGTGGCTAATTAAAAAAAAACTTACTTAGATTTAATGTTGGCCATCTCCTGCTGGAATGTCTTCATCTTTGTCTCGTAGTGCGCCATTAAACTTGTTTTCTCTTCCTAAAATTATCATTGTCATCAGTGTCATCATTGTCATCATTGTCATCATTGTCATCATTGTCACCATTGTCATCGTTGTCATCGTTGTCATCATTGTCATCGTTGTCATCGATGTCATCATTTTCATCATTTTCATCATTTTCATCATTGTCATCGTTATCATCATTTTCATCATTATCATCATTATCATCATTTTCATTGTCATCATTGTCATCATTGTCATCATTGTCATCATTGTCATCATTGTCATCATTGTCATCATTGTCATCATTGTCATCATTGTCATCATTGTCATCATTGTCATCATTGTCATCATTGTCATCATTGTCATCATTGTCATCATTGNTCATTTTCATCATTTTCATCATTTTCATCATTTTCATCATTTTCATCATTTTCATCATTTTCATTGTCATTGACGTCCTTGTCGTCCTTGTCATTGTCATTCATGGTCGTCGTTGTAGTATAAGTAATATGCGGAGCAGATTTATGCAGCATAGACAATTTATATTTTATTTTCAATTTAATAACATCATTATTTATTCCTCATTGTTACTCAGGAAAGGTGTATTTAAGGAACCATTGTCAATCAGGAAAGGTGTATTTAGGGAACCATTGCTAATCGAAAAGTAACTTGTTAAACGGTTAAATACTCAAAATTACGACGCCATTCTTGTGAATAGTTTTGAAAATTTGAGAAGTACCCTCGACCTCTCTTTTTTCAGTATGCCTAGTGTGCTCAACAAAAAAAACCTAATAAGTGGAGGAAAGGGGGGGCCGGGGGGCTACAAATATTGGACAATAAACTTTTCTCATAACAGATTCTGAACCAGGTTCTGTAATGCGTATGAAATAAAAATGAACTATTTTTACCTTAAGTCTGTTTATATCATACTCCTTGGCATCTTCAGCCTGCTTTAAAAACTCAACAGTTTCCTGCAAAACATTAAATCAAACATTGAAATAATTTTTAGGACAAATTTAGCTTAGTTAAAAATGTTTTTATAAATGATTTTTAAACTAAGCTTGGAACTATTAAAGATGGCGCTGAGCTACAACTGAAACTTTTGAACTTATTTATTAAATACATCTCTTATTCATAAATCCAGATCTCTCTTTGAAGATCAACGAGGCCAGAATTAATTAAGAGAAAAGTAATTGAACTAAAATAGGACAGAAAACGTAGGGTTGTCGATTGTGCATTCAGAAAAATCTGAATTTTTGAAGTAAGTTCTTTTAAAATCTAACCATACATAAACCATCTCCGGGATTACGTAAGGTGCAACAAAAAATGTGGACCCGATCAATTCAGCCGTTTTCACGTTTATCGGTTACAAACAAACACCCAAACAAACAAAGTATATGAATATTAGGCTTACAGGGCGCTTCGCGCACATTTTCTATTTCAATTGTGAACATTATCTTTTAGAACAATGTAAAAAAAATTGGCGCATTTTATGAAATAAGTGGATTTAAAAAAATTTCAAAAATCGAATTTTGGTGTAGGCAAATTTTTTCAAATTCGATCATACATAAACCATCTCTGGGATTATGTTAGGTCCCACAAAAAATGTGGGCCCAAATTGGTTCAGCCGTTTTTAAGTTTATTAGTTAAAAAACAAACAACCAAACAGAGTAAATTTATAGATATGAGTATTGAGTAAAATAAAAGTTATTAAATTGATTGAAAGGGCTAACGTTTAACTAATTTCTTCAATTTACGAACTCTGGTTGAACTATGCTCTATCTATACCTGGAGTAGTTTAATCTCTTCTCCTTTATGCTCTATCTATACCTGGAGTAGTTTAGTCTCAACTCTGCACTATGCTCTATCTATACCTGGAGTAGTTTAATCTCAACTCTACACTATGCTCTATCTATACCTGGAGTAGTTTAATCTCAACTCTGCACTATGCTCTATCTATACCTGGAGTAGTTTAATCTCAACTCTACACTATGCTCTATCTATACCTGGAGTAGTTTAATCTCAACTCTGCACTATGCTCTATCTATAACTGGAGTAGTTTAATCTCAACTCTTCACTAGGCTCTATCTATGCCTGGAGAAGTTTAATCTCAACTCTGCACTATGCTCTATCTATACCTGGAGTAGTTTAATCTCTTCTCCTTTATGCTCTATCTATACCTGGAGTAGTTTAATCTCAACTCTGCACTATGCTCTATCTATAACTGGAGTAGTTTAATCTCAACTCTTCACTATGCTCTATCTATACCTGGAGTAGTTTAGTATCAACTCTGCACTATGCTCTATCTATACCTGGAGTAGTTTAATCTCAACTCTGCACTACGCTCTATCTATAACTGGAGTAGTTTAATCTCAACTCTTCACTATGCTCTATCTATACCTGGAGTAGTTTAATCTCAACTCTGCACTATGCTCTATCTTTACCTGGAGTAGTTTAATCTCTTCTCCTTTATGCTCTATCTATACCTGGAGTAGTTTAATCTCATCTCCTTTATGCTCTATCTATACCTGGAGTACTTTAACCTCTTCTGCTTTATGTTTAATCTCTTCTCTTAGAAGTTCCAGAGCTCCATCCTCCCTCTTCCTAGATTCCTAGAATACAGGGTAAACACTAAACATAGGGAGTTCTAGGACTCCATCCTCCCTCTTCCTAGATTCCTAGAATACAGGGTAAACAGTAAACATGGGAGTTTTGGAAGTTGGTTTCTAGTGTTTGATCCTAATAATCTTATAAAGCTTTTGACTTTCAGTAGGCTCCACGAAATCTACTGAGTTTAACATAATTCAAATTCTATACTAGTTTTCTTTTAACGGATCGTGTCAATATTTTGACAGTCAAAAATTAACCAAAATGATGATATTATTATCCACCAAAAAGTATTAGAGAAGGATTTTAACCACCAAGTTTAGATTAAGGGATTGTTACCTTCAAGGTTTATATCAAGGGATTGTATCCTTCAAGGTTAATATAAAGGGATTGTATCCTTTAAGGTTCATATAAAGGGATTGTTACCTCCAAGGATTGTAGAATCTGAATCTCCTTCTCTAGATTGACCAGCTTAACCTGCAGCTGAGAACTCTTCTTCTTCTCTTCCACTAACTCCTGAACATTAAGGGTGCATCAGCAAAGTAACAAAACTTGCATGATGTTTTTTCTTGCGCCGGGCACCTCCTTTTTTAATTCTCTATGGTAGCCAGGTTCAGAGCTTTCACAAATTAAGGGTTAAAAATCCTTAACTTTTTTTTACAAATTTTTAAGGGTTAAAACGAAAATCCGCAATTTCACTTTCTTTCCCTTGAGCAAACAAAAATATTGTTCAACTGTTCTTTGGAGAAAAATTGGACAAGGTAAAAAATTTGTCTCACAATTGGATATAACTTTTTTAACCATCGGATTATTCTTCCTGACAAACCTGTGTCTCTACAGCTGAATGTTTAGTTGCTCTTTTTAATATTTTAATTTCATCTTGTCCATCCTTGAGTTGTCTTGTTAGGGTCTCCATCTTCTTATTCAACTCATCAATTCTCTTCTCTTCTCTACTCTTCTCATCCTTGGCAGTTCTAAACATTCAACAACAGGATCAGATTTTGCTAAACATTAGGTGGAAAAATATTATTTACTTGTAAACTGTGAAAGCAAAATCTGTAGAAAAATTTAAGTTTGGTATCATTATATATGATCTTCTTTCAAAAGAATTGCGTTACCGATACCATTCCCACTTTTATCAGATCAATAGTGTTTAAGAAATTGCTGTTTTCATGTCTGAGAAGTGTTTAATTCTGACAAATTATTTTTTTGTTTCTGAGGCAGAATTGCGCAAGTCACTTTCACAGAGAAACCACAATTGAAAATATACAATTTTTCAGCCAATTTCATTCTTTAGCAGACTAAGCTTTTGAGGGGTAAAAGAAAGGAGGGTTATCCCATCTTATGAATTACCTTGCTTCCTCCTTGAGCTTTCTTATTTCCTCCTCCTTCTCTTGAAGAAGTTGAACAGTAGTCTGGAACTCCTTCACCCTCTCCTCCAACCCTTCCCTCTCCTTCCTCATCTTCTCCCTCCAATCTCCCTCAGCTGTACTCTCCGCTAGTACAGATTCCAACTCTGCTAATCGTTCGCGCATTTTCTCGTCGTTCTTGCTTTCTCCCGCGCTTTTCTCTAGAGTCTTTAGTTCAGCTCTTAAGGTTTTGTTAGATACTCTCTGAGCTTCAAGCTCGTCGTTCAGAGCAGTTTCTGCTCTCTGACTTTCCTCCTCTAGCTTTTTTATCTAAAAAAGAAAACATTTATTGAGGGGTGTGCAGAACACTGTACTTTTGGAAAGAAATAAAATGAACAAATAGAGAAAGGAAAAAAAAACAAATGAAATCGAAGAGTAAAAAAAGCCTAAAAAGAAGAAAAAAAATATTTGAATTATCTTTTCTAAATATTCAATTGGGCTCTTTTCCAGTTTTTAAATAAGATTTTAATAAGAGATTTTCATTTCCCACAGATTTTTTAATGCAGAGCTAATTTTTTAAAATTCACTATTTTCACCTTTTTAAGAAGGTTTGATATCTCCTCCTTTCCTGAGCTCTCCTTGGCTTCCTTTTTCACTTCTAGTTTCTCAAGCTCAGATATTTTCAGTTCCTTAAAAGTAATGATTAAAATCAATATATATATTTTATACTAGCTGAAGTGCCCGGCATTGCCCGTGGAATTTTGAAAAGACTCTCTGAAATTTTTAAAAAAATTTTACAGTAAAAAAAATATTTTTTTTTTAAAAGCCTCTGTTACCCTAAGACCCTAAGGGTACCCATTGGTCCCGCCGTTTGGCCAGCTATAACCTACATATATATATATATATATATATATATATATATATATATATATATATATACATACACATTCAAATATATATATTTGGACAAAGAGCTTTATATTACAGATTTGCATAACAATAAATATTTTTGACTTGACTGTGTGTTTGCTAGTTTTCATACAACAAACGTCCAAACGGCTGAACCGATCGGACCCTATCTCATATGCTCTCTTACAAGGGCCACTTTTGGCCGATACAAATGAAAATTGATCGATTTCTTCAAATTTTAAATCTATCATACTGACAGAAAATGGCAACTTGAAAATCAAGATTTTAAAGCTAAAATTGTTACTTGAATATTTATACCATTTTCAACTACAATTTGAAAACAATTCTTTTCGGATTGACAGAGTTTTATTTCTATAATTTTTTTACCTTTTCCATAATTATATCTTCTAGTTCCCTGATATAAGAATCCTTAGTGGCCAGCTCTTTTTCCAGGCTTCCGGTTCTACCCTCTAGTTCAATTATACTGGTTGTACCTGAACAATAGTATCAATCAAATACCCCCCCGAACATATAAAGTATAAAAGTATAAAGACTCAGGGTTCCTCCCAGGTTTTTTGTGGCAGGTCAGGATAAAAGCAAACGTGGCAGAAATTACACACAGTTTTCTGCGGCGGCTAAAACAATTTTGTGGCCGATTTTAAGCTTGTTAATAATTTTTGTGGCAGATTATATGCATTAAGGATTTAAGTTTCTAAGCTTTAATTTCATGTGTGGCAATTTTTTTTGGTTTTAGATAGAAGTGTGTCAGGGTATAGCTTTCTATATAATTTCTTATGTGTTAACATTATTTGCTGGCAGACTTTATGTATCTGAATACTTTCAGTGAAAACTTGGGCCATTTGATGTGTTAACATTATTTTGTGCCATTTTTTTTAGCTAATTCATTATTTTTGTGGCAGATTTAATGAATTAAGTTTATGTATGTTAAAGCTCATTCATTATTTTTGTGGCAGATTTCATGAATTAAGATTACGTTTGTGGCAGATTTAAAGCTTGTTCATAATTTTTGTGGCAGATTTCATGCATAGAGATGATGTTTGTGGCCGATATAAAGCTCATTCATAATTTGTGTTGCAGTTTTCATGCATTAAGTTTGTGTTTGTGGCAGATTTAAAGCTCATTCATAATTTTTGTTCCAGATTTCATGCTTTAAGATTATGTTTGTGGCAGATTTAAAGCTAATTCATGATTTGTGTGGCAGATTTCATGAATTAAGATTATGTTTGTGGCAGACTTAAAGCTCATTCATAATTTTTGTGGCAGATTTCATGCATAAGGTTTATGTTTGTGGCAGATTTAAAGTTCATTCATAATTTCTGTGGCAGATTTTATGCATTACGATTATGTTTGTGACAGATTTAGAGCTCAATCATCATTTTCGTGGCAGATTTCATGCTTTAAGGTTATGTTTGTGGCAGATTTAGAGCTCATTCATAATTGTTGTGGCTCATTTCATGCTTTAAGTTTATGGTTGTGTTAAAGCACATTCATTATTTTTGAGGCAGATTTCATGAATTAAGATTGTTTGTGGCAGATTTAAAGCTCATTCATAATTTTTGTGGATGATTTCATGCACTAAGATTATGTTTGTGGCAGATTAAAAGCTCATTCATCATTTTGTGGCAATTTTTATGCATTATATTTTATGCGTTAATTGATATCTTTTCCCGAAAATTGGCAGATTAGTTCTCTAAATTGGCAATTTTTTTCCCTTAATTGGCAGATTTTTGCCCAAAACTTTCAAATTTGAAAGTGGCAGGTCAGTTGGGTCAGGTAAACTGACCCAAATTTGGTCTGGGAGGAACCCTGTATTAAGTATAAATCATAAATAATCATATTAAAAAAACCTTATCTCTTAATGATTATCATTTTTATTTGCAGAGAACCCATCATTCAATGAAATAGGGGTCGACGCTCCTGTATTAGTATTCGAAAAAAATTTGGGAGTAAATTCAGAAAGTTAAAATTCCAATAAAAAAGAAGGGAAGTGGTGGTCAATGGTCATTAAAGATTTTTTTTTTTGGCGAAACATTAATGTTAATTACTTACTCTGGTTCTCTATGTGTTCATTCAGTTTATCAGTCATAGCACCAATTCTTTCATCAAGTTCCTTTTTCTCCTCTTCTCTCTCCTTCTTCTCCTTCTCTAGATTTGTTTTTACAACTATAATCTCCTTTTCCAATCCATCCTTCTCTGTTTGTATTTTCTCCTTCTCCACTTTCAGATTATCTAATTCTGATCTTATTTCGGCAAGTTCAGATTCAAGTTCCAGACTCTTCTCAGAGCTCTCCTTTATGTTTTGTAACTCCGTCTTCAGGTTCTCTAGCACAGTGTTCTTCTCTTCTACTTGGGATATCAAGGCCTTCACTTCTTTCAGAGTTTTCTCCTGAAAATGTAAAAAAAAAAACCTATAACTGTTCATTCACAATTGATAGCTTTGGATCCAAATCCCTTGATCCGGATTTGAATTTTTGGGTTTCAAAACATAAATCTCAAATGTCAACTAATGATCTTTAAAGAACTTTTTTGACTAAATATTGCCTTTTTAAAGGACATGGCCGTAATAAAATTAAATTAAATGTATTCTTTAAGTTATAAGGTATTAAATTTGATATCTACATTCTTTTTAAACATTATCCCTCAAAAACGGACAGTTTTTTGTAAAGCAAAATGAATCAAAATTATGTGAAATAATATTTTATAAAAACCTTTTCCATGGTTTCCAACTGATTTTTCTCCTCCATATCTTCCAACTTCTTCTCCATTTCTTCCATCTCCTTCAACTCCTTCTCCATCTCCTCCATCCTTTCCTTCCTTCTCTTCTCCAGTTCCTCCTCCTTCTCCTGGATCTCCTTCAGGATTCTATTCTTCTCTTTCCTTTCATTGCAGAGTTGACTTTCAAGAACCATCATTTCATCCCTTGAGATTGAAAAGTAGAAAATAAATAAATTCTCACTTAAATATATTCTCACTTAAATATATTCTTAAATGACGAATTAGTTGTAAAAGATCCCTTAACTAAAAAGTTAAATGTCCGATTCACAAGGGGTACCTTTACAACAATAAGATAAATATTGTTGTTTTTAATCTTAAAGTGTTGAATTCTTTTAATTTTATTCCTAGTCTATGCTGCATAAATAATCATCAAGTGACAAGGATAGCTTCATCATTTGTGATCAGACGGAAGTTTAAAGGTACCGTTGAGAATGGAACATGCAACCTTTTCTTTTTTTAATTGAGGGCTTAAAAATTACATCGACAATTCTTTAAATTTCAGTGATTCGCTGGAAGTGATAAACTTGATTATGTTTATTAGGGTAATACCCCAGTTTGCGACAAAATATAGAAATATTGTCTCACTAATAACACTCAGGCTAATATTGTTCTCTATGTTGTCAGTTTGCGACAAAATATAGAAATATTGTCTCATTAATAACACTCAGGCTAATATTGTTCTCTATGTTGTCAGTTTGCGACAAAATATAGAAATATGGTCTCATTAATAACACTCAGGCTAATATTGTTCTCTATGTTGTCAGTTTTCACAGGATGTTTTTTTAAAACCTATGGGAAGTGGTCTACATAGCTCAAAAAAAAAAAATATTTTTTGAATTTATCATGTCATATTTCATTTTCTTCGTAATTGTCTAAAATGATTAAATCCATTGAAATTTTGACTGCGTTAGGTTAAAAAACCTCCAAAAAGTTTATCAATGCTAAATAAAGATTCACTAAATAAGAATGGAAAAACACTGATATTTATTATATAAATGAGTTAAAACTGCTGAGCAAGACAATGATAGAAAGGATAACAAAGCCAAGGTACTAATGCAAGGAAAGTTAATTGCGGTCGCATATACTCTGCGTACATATTGAAACCAGTTCTCTCTGGGCCGACTTTGTAAACAAGAATAGATGCATCAGTGTTCGTTTAGTATCCGAAAAGGTTAAAAGCATTTAATTTTGATAATTTAGAAAATTCACTTAGTAGTTTCCTATGACCAAAATCTTTCATAGATTATTTTTATGAAAACGGATTCCATGTCAGGCTGTGACATCCGTCTTGTGTTTACTTTTCCGCCCAATGCAAAGACAGTACACTGCAGAACAAAAAATGCGCACACCTCTGAAATAACTTTCCTTGAATTAGTACCTTGAACAAAGCACTGTTATGTATTATAATTGAAATTGATAATAGCACAAATTTTCTCTTGTTAACTTTAACTAAGACTATCAGTTTTACCCAACTTCATTCAGTAATAACCCAAAAACAATGGAATAGGAAGACGACATTATAAGAATACTTAAGTGTATTTGATGTTGAAACAAAGCAAATTTGACACTTATAAAATCACTAATGTCTTGAAATGGGTCTGTTTACTCAGCACCATTGCTGTGTCTCTTGTGCTCATTGTACTTTTCAAAGTTACAACCTGATTCCTAAAGGCGTCTTCCTATTCCAGAGTTTTATTGTTATCACTGTAGTTTACCTGGCGGATTTTAAACTCTTCTTTAACTCCTCTGTCTCCTGCTCCTAATTAAATAAAAAATAACTAGATGAAGAATTTAAGACTTCAGACATGATTTAAAGGAATGTACACGTAAATTAAAGTAACCTTTAATTTTAGGGATGAGAATATTTGAGTTAGTGGCAAGAACTCAGTTCCTTTAGGTAGATTTTTAATAAACCAGTCGATAACAGGAAATAACTTTTTAATAAAAAAAATCTTAAAATTCAAGCAATTTTTCAACGTATAACTGGATGAAATCTTATTCTCAAATCTAAAAAAATAAAACTGGATGAAATCTGTATAGATACAGGTATAACAAGATGCATAAAAAGAAATTTAAATAAAGTCACCTTCAAAATTAACTTCTCGGTCAGCTCGAAGTCTTCTGTTTCAAGAATAGATTTCTCCGAGTTCTCTGTCCTCAGCCGGGCACTGTTCTTCTCCAGGTCCTTTCGGAGCTGTTCCTGCTCCTTAAGCAACCCATCCCTCTCCACCTTAAACTCATTCTGCTCCTTGATCAGATCCTCCTGCTCGCTCTTCAGCAGGATGTTCTCCTCGGTCAAGGATTCAACCACGTTCCTCAGCTTGAAGAGTTCATCATCCTAAACAAAGAAATTCACATTAAAAAAATATCAACAAAAATCTAGAAAACTTGAATTAGTAATTTCCCTGAAAATCTAGAAAGCCCTTCGTGTGGGTCAAAATAGCTGAAACGACCAGAGGCCGAATTTAAAGAATTTGAGCCGCGGCTCAAATATGGTTGGTCCCACTTAAAATCGTATTCATTTTTTCAAGATTTAAGTCGGCGCTCAATTGAAACCGGTTTTTGGTGTATTTAAGACGCGGCTCAAATCCATTAAATTCGGACATAGGTCTAATTTATCTCACACGACCCCAAGAACGGTATTTTTGTCCAAGTGGAAATATTTTGCCTCGAAATATATATTTTTTGATCCGCCCTCAGGAGAGCAGGAAAATCTGCGAACTTTGTCTTGTTATTATTTAACAATGTAGGAAAAGCTAGCACAGTGCAGATATATCTTCACCAAAATGATTGACACGACGCGCCCTGTAAACCTAGTTATGTAATTAAAGTTTTAGACGCGTAACTTAAATTAAAAAAAAAAAAAATCTTATTAAATTGATCTTGATCTTTATACCTCTAGACTAGAATCGTCCACTGATCGAGCAGATCTAGCTTCGTCCAACTGCAGTTGAAGAGTCTCCAATTCGTCCTTGAGACGAATATTTTCGTCCTTTAAATCAGAAATCGTCTTTGCCAACTCAAGGTTAGACTTCTCGCTTTTCTTCAAATCGTTCTGAAAAGATGTTTTTTTGCGATAATTTAAACTTATAATACTCACTTAGTCTGACAAAATGGATTTAACTGACAACAATGGATTTGACTGTCAAATGTGACTTAACGGACAAAGCTGACAAAGAAAACTTAACTAAAGAGAATTAGTTTGACTGACAAAACCAACTTGACTGACTGAGATGACTGGACTGCCTAATTTAACTCGTACTTTCAGACCACTTACAGCATGACTGAAATGACTTAACTGACCTTGATTTCGTCTAGGTAAATGTTGACCTCCATCTCCTGACTACTACTGAGCTTCTCACTCTTCAGCTCAGCTAACTCTTCAATCAACTTTGTCCTGTTAATACAGACATTAATTGGAGAGGTCGCTGAACAAACACTGCCGATTCAAATCATGAATCATCGATTCAAATCTTCATGAATCTTAAACTTTGGATCGGTAATTCTGGATTTAAACCGGCGGCGGTATGAAGTTCAGCTACCTAGCTCAAATTCATTAACTTCAATCCCCTCCATCCCCCTGGCCCCGTATACTTTAGGACTACGAACGTTTAACATACAACAAAGCCAGAGAATAGTCTTAAAACTTTAAATCGTTAAAAATAACGAAATTAAATTTAATCAGTTTGAATCATAATTGATCCCGATATCCACACTGGTAACTATTGAATTTATGCAGAATCTGCTTGATCTCTTGATACTAGATATCAGCGCACTTACCGAATAAAAATTAAATTACTACAAGATCGAGATCAACCATTGATCCCGATCCCGATATCCTCAATACAAGAGTTGCAAGCTCAGGTCTGCCTGCTGAGCGCTAAGTATAAAACTATACCTTGAGACAAGAAGCTGTTGCTTTTCCTCCTGCAAGATAACCAATTTTCCTCCCTCACTTTCAGACTTCAGTTTCTCAAGACAATCTTGTGTGCTCTTTAGTTCACTTTGAACATCATCTAAACAAAGGATATATCTATAAAATAAAACAAGACATTCGTATATATATATATATGTTGCCTATAGCCGGTCAAACGGCAGGACCGAATGGGCTAAATTTTTTTGTGGAAACTCATGGGTGGCCGTGTTGTAGGCTAAAAAAATCGAAATCATTTTTTTTCCACGGGCAACGCCGGGCCCTTCAGCTAGTTGGATATATATTTAAAAAACATTATTTTCAAAGATTTGTGGAGGGTTGGAAAAGGACTTTACTTTACCCAAAAAAATATTATTTTACCCAATTTAGCGATAAAAAACTCTGAACTTTAAAACCATTCCAAACATGAGAGAAAATTTTTCTTTTTAAAAGGGGGGAAGGGGAATGATGTTTTAAGAAAATGTACACCCCATGGGCTTCTTTGCAACTAGGCACAAGTTCAGAAAACCCCATATTTTTGTGTAATTTTATTATATTCAAAGGAAACGGATGGAGAGCAACATTTTAACCCTCTGGTTCGTTCCGGGTCCTCAAAATTATCTAATGTAATATCAACCAAATCTTCCTAATCATTAAAGGTTAAATCAAGTTTAAATAATCGTCAGAGAAAAAATTAAATTAAAAATTTGAAAATTTGTTTTTGGTTAAAGGGGCTAAAAGTGACTGCGTAACTTTAAGTGACATTCTAAGCAAAGATGGCAATGTCCGATTCACAACGGTCCCTTAAAAGCTTTGCAAGATCAAGTATGAATTAGAGATAAATGTTCATGATATTAAAAACTTATTATTTTTAATTGACCTGCGCATTTCTATACTAAAGAAACAAACATATGAATTATATGAACTATCAGAACGGAACACTTTTAAACATAGAAAATCGACGCTTTCTTTTACATTATTGACCAGAGAATAGTTTCAAGGGCATCATTGTGTCTGTGATTAGGGTATTGGCATCCTGGTGGGTTACTTTAAACACTTTTAGAACTGTAATTTGTTAAATAAGATGCGGATCCGAGATACGGATCCAGGATTCGGATCCAAGATACGGATCCAGAATTCGGATCCAAGATACGGATCCAGAATTCGGATCCAAGATACGGATCCAGGATTCGGATCCAAGATGCGGATCCAGGATACGGATCCAGGATTCGGATCCAGGATTCGGATCCAAGATACGGATCCAAGATACGGATCCAAGATACGGATCCAGGATACGGATCCAAGATACGGATCCAGGATTCGGATCAAAGATATGGATCCAGGATTCGGATCAAAGATACGGATCCAGGATTCGGATCCAAGATATGGATCCAGGATTCGGATCCAAGATACGGATATACGGATCCACGGATCCAGGATTTGGATCAAAGATACGGATCCAGGATTGGGACAAAAAAAATGGATTCCAAGTACTAGGGATAATATTCTTACCAAGGAACTTCTGAGCGGTGTTGTACTTCTCCTTGATGAGGTTCAGCTCCTTTTCCAACCCCATCCTAACCTCCTCATTAGCCTCAAGCTTTTCCTAAAAAAAATATTCCAGCAAATCTAATCTTAAAAGATGTTGCAATTTTTAACTGAAAAAACAAAGCGAATCAAAGGTCCTGAATTAAAAACGCTATAAAATCTTTGAATTAATAATGATGAAGGCGGACAAATTTTAAGATAAACAAATGCAAATTATCTAAGGTTACATTGAAAAAAAACCCGCGAAATTTGGATCCAGTTTTTATATACATATCTATATATAATATACAATACATAGAATATGGATAAATAATTATATCATTATCTAAATTTATAATTTACTTGTTTCCAATAAACATAAAAAACGTCTGAACCGATCGGGCCCAAATTTTGCGAGACAACTCACACGACCACAGAGAACTGGGAAGAGTTAAGGCTGGTTGAAATTTAAAAAATGTCGAAGCCGCGAATTTTTTTATTGAAAACGATGAAAAAATGGCGACATTAAATTGAGAATAGAAAAGGGGAAACAAAGCACCTGGTTTCAGACTAAATTAAACTTACTTTCTGTTCGTAAACTTGTTCTTCAAGCTCCTCCATTTTTGTGTCCTTCAGAACAAAATTTCAGTTCATTTGCTTAACCAAAGGAGAGGACAGAAAGATGACTGAAATCACTGAAGTATTTTGTGTACAATATATGCGACAACTAACAACGATCATTTTGAAAACGATCGTTTTTGAAAAGGATGAAACTAAGTTATGATAGTTTTTAAGAAGAATAAACGAATCAATCGTTTTCAAAACGATCATTCCGGAAAACGACAGTTTAAACAAGAATAGTTTTCAAAATTGGAATAACAATCGTTTTAGAATGAAAACGATGATTTTGAAAACAATTGTTTTGGAATGAAAACGATAGTTATGAAAACGATCTTTTTGGAATGAAAACGACAAATAAAGCATATTTCATTGAACAATAAAAATCTTAATCGACAAACCACGGTTCGAACGAGAAAATGTGCTTAAATAAAGTTTAAACAAAACGATAGTTTTTAATTCAAAATATGGTTTTTTTCCCTCTCGTTTTTGTATTTGAAAGCTTAAAATTAACACTCAGCCTTTTTCTAAAAACGATTGTTAGTAAGTTTTGAAAATTACAAAACGAAAGTAATAACTATCGTTTTTCCGATTTTTTTTTTGAAAACGATGCCCAGCCATTTTCACAACCATAAATCTAATCACTTTGATCATCCCTCTCTAATGGGTATATTAACGATGCACATCCCTTTTAACAACCATAAATCTAATCACTTTGATCATCCCTCTCTAACGGGTATATTAATAATGAACTCTCTAACGGGTATATTAATAATGAACTCTCTAACGGGTATATTAATAATGAACTCTCTAACGGGTATATTAATAATGAACTCTCTAACGGGTATATTAATAATGAACTCTCTAACGGGTATATTAATGATGAACTTTCTAACGGGTATATTAATGATGAACTCTCTAACGGGAATATTAATGATGAACTCTCTAACGGGTATATTAATGAACTGAATTCCTTGTCGTCAAGTTGGTTGTTTATCTCCCGGAGTAGGACGTGTGACTCCTCCAGCTGGGTCTCCAGGTCCTCAACCATTAGGCCCTGCTGAGTCACCTACACGGAGATTAGACATTAAATAAATATGAATCCAATGAACGTCAAAAAGCAGGGGCCGATATAATTTCTTATATCAAAGGGATCGGAGTTGAAAGTACATTTAGGGGCATGCAAATATACCTTCTGTGTCATTGCGAACTTAGGTAAGTTTTTTTTTCTGATTTGATACCTCACATTACTAATTTTCATTGATTGAATATCTCACCATTTTTGGAGGTTATTATCGAAGCGAGATCAAAACGGAGGTCGGATATATATGTCTATATCAGCGTATGACTTATGTGGTAGCAAAAAATATGAAAACATGTCTGATTAAGTTTAAATAATTTAATTAGAGTAAAAAAAGTGGTATTTTCCCGTATATTTCAGTTCATTTATGTCAAATGGAGGTCAATGACCTCCGAACTCAAATTTTCTTCGTGATCTTTGCAGATGACCACAATTAGAGGCTGCATGCAAATGTCAGCCTTCTATCCCTTCTATCTCAATTATTAGGACCAAACACCTGGTGTCACAGGCTGGATGAAATAATTGTTTTTAAACATTGATTTTTAAACTTTTTTAATGTAAAACCCACTATTGGAAACAGAAAAATATACGAAATTTAAATTGTAACTCTTTGATAATAAATACAAAGAAAGAGTGATTGGAAAGTTAAAAAAGAAAAGTCTAAATAATAAGAAGCCTCTTAAAAACAAAATACATTCTGTGTTAACAACTGTCACAGCATTTTCTAGTTTCTTAATTTCTTCCTGTTTCTCCAAAAACTCATCACCTGCCTCCTAAATCAAGGGATTAAAACAACTGCAGGGGTATATCAGGGGATTAAAAGAACTGCAGGGGTATATCGGGGGATTAAAAGAACTGCAGGGGTATATCGGGGGATTTAAAGAACTGCAGGGGTATATCAGGGGATTAAAAGAACTGCAGGGGTATATCGGTGGATTAAAAGAACTGCAGGGGTATATCAGGAAATTAAAAGAACTGCAGGGGTATATCAGGGGATTAAAAGAACTGCAGGGATATATCGGTGGATTAAAACAACTGCAGGGGTATATCAGAAGGGGGGAGATATTACTAAAGTAATCATTTTAGAAGATTGAGGAAAACATAAAAAATTAAACATTAATTTGCAGGTCCCTCCGCCTTTGGATACTTTAGAACGAAAAAATTATTAATCTATGTAATGAATCAAGACATTCGTATGTTTATGTTTGTTAGGATTATTTTCAGAACTCCTGGCGCAGTATATAAGAAAATTTCCGATTGTTGTCATCATATTCATATGGTTGCATATATCACATTAATATACAGAGTATATTATATTCAATGATTACGAATATCAAGATAAAAAGTAAAGGACATTTATTTCTTTTTTTTGGTATATATATGTTGCGTATAGCTGGCCAAACGGCTGGACCGATTGGGCTGAAACTTTTTGTGGACACGTATGGGTGGCCGGGGGGTGTTATAAGCTAAAAAAAAATTTCCCATTTTTTTAAAAATTAAAAAAAAAATTCCCATTTTTTTTATAGTTTTAAATAAAACAGCAAATAAAAACCAAATTTTGTTTGTGCTTTGCTGTACTGTCCTAATATAAGGAGAAAAAATATAAACCACTGAGAAACTATCAACATATTGACCATCAAACTAACCGATTTATATGTCAGTAAAATTATTGATCTTTTAGAAAGCTAAATAATTGCTAGATTATTTCAGATTTCGTCATTTTCAGACTAATAAAAAATTCGTTACTTAGATAACGGTTAGAAGGAAAAAGCTGTTGATCATTGTCGGCAATAAGGAACTGTATCAATGATTCAAGAAGATTTAAGGGATAAACTTGCACGCTAATACGGTTAAAAGGACAAAGCTGTGAATCCTTGTTCTTGGTGATCAGTAACTGTAGCCAGCAGGGCAGTTTTATAACTCAAAACTAAATTTCAGCTAAAATTAATCCAAGAAGATTAATAACATGAAGATAATGTAGAAATAGAACCTGTAGAAGTTCCTTCATGTCTTGACACTCGTCTTCCTTAGCAGCCATGCTGTTCATTAGGTTGGTCACCTAGATCATCAACATTGTCATCATTTTGATTATTGTCATCATAGTCAGTCACTTTGGTCATCATTGTCATCAGAAGCTATGGTCATCAGTGGCTATGGTCATCATTGCCATGATTGTCATCATTGTCATGATTGTCATCATTGCCATGATTGTCATCATGGTTATCATGGTCATCACGGTCATGAAAGTCATCAGGTCAAGATTGTCATCATTGTCATTGACATGATTGTCATCATTGTCATTGACATGATTGTCATCATTGTCATTGACATGATTGTCATCATTGACATGATTGTCATCATTGACATGATTGTCATCATTGACATGATTGTCATCATTGACATGATTGTCATCATTATGTCATCATTGTCATCATTGTCATCATTGTCATCATTGTCATCATTGTCATCATTGTCATCATTGTCATTATGGCGATCATTGGTATCATTGTCATAGTTATCATAATTTTCAACATTATCAGCAAATCAAGATGGTCATCCTTCCGAACATGATTATCATATTTATCCTAGATATCCTAGATATCCTAGATATACCTGTATCTTCAGCTCACTAATCTGTGATTCCTCGCTTTCTAACTTGTCCATATTCAACTTTTGATCTTCGTGGAGTCTAAAACAAGAAAATCTATGAAAAAATGTCAATAGCAGACACTTTTTCAATATCTGTAACTTTGCTAGTAGTTCCCACAGATTTTAACTCTCTGAATCCTAATCAGTGAACAAGTCAAGTGGCATAAAATCAAATACAAATACAATGTTCTCAAAACAAATACAGAGTTACCCACAAAAGAGAAGACTTTAATATCGACACACAACTCATTAAATATGACGATGTTAAGGTTAAATCTGATCTTCTGTCTTGAATATAGAGGTGTGCTGGTCAACTTAATAATTTAGCTAGCTTTTACCTTCAGTGAACCGTAAGCGAAAGAAAAAAAGAGAAAAAATGCCGTGCCGTAGCCTCTAAAGCCTTATCCTTCCATGGATAATCCTGTATTTTGTGTTATCTTTTTTGTGACCATAGGGAGAGAAGCTCCCTTTCGCCTCTTGTTGAATATGAACAAATTTCAGCAAGTGCTTGAATGAAAAACAGCTTAATTTACCTATTCTTCGTTGCAAGAAGTTCCCTGCCTATCTCAGCAGCTAATCGCTGCTGATCCGCTAGTTGGAACTGTAAGCTGCTATTTTGTTCTTGAAGTTTGTCCTTAACCTCATTACTTGCTTTAAGTGTGTCCTTAACAAGTAAACATTTATCATTTAATACTTTATACACTATGTTTCAGTGCTCTGCACCCGGTGTGATGTGATAATCAGCCCTGGCGTGAAATAATGCCCGGGCTACTGCATTCTACATTTTGACACTTTCTCCACATTATTAAATTATAAAAGCATGTTTATACACTTTCCATGTGTAAACTTTGTTGTTAGATAAGTTTTTAAATGTATTAATACTTGAAAAATGTAAAAAAAAAAAATAATTTCCGGTTCGAATGTCATCTTCCTCTTGAAAGAATTTAATAACAAAGGTATTTTAGATTCAATCACTATGGCATGTACAATTTATATTTATATATGATTATAAGCAAAGTTAAAACTTATATTATATAAAGCAAACGCAAAAATTCAGTAACTGACTTAAGTGGAATTGAATTGAGAGTTAGTTCATTCAACCATTAGTCCAATTGACATAGCAGCAGATAATTGCATCTCATGGTTTTGGTAAATTAAATGATACCTGAACCAAGTATTGATAAAGCCCAATATTATAACCTCTCCCCCCAAATAAAAAAATGGAAAACAAAATAACAAAATGCCTTTTGATTACTTGTTTTTCATTTCAATGCAATCTGCATGTAACTGTTCTAATTTTTACACATGATTAAGTAATTTGAACTTATTGACAATTTGACAATTTGTAAAATATTTGCTACGAAATTATATAAAACAAAAATCTAATTTATTCTTAAGACGTTAATCTTAAATGTTGTCTTGAAACTTTCAACATAATCTTTCAACAGTAGGAACTGGTCTATGTACGAAGGAAACGCAGTGTGATCTCAGCATTAAAATCTAATTTCTAAAAAAATCTTTAAATTTTGACTGAATATTCAAAATGATAAGGATCCTAAGTAGTAAGCACTGTCGAAATAATAAATGATGGATTTCAGTCTATATTTTCTCCGAGTTAACATTTTGCACAACGCACCATTTCGTTTGGTTAAAGCAGTGCTTAGGATCCATTAAATTTTTTAAGCGGATCCGGATCCGGATCCTGGATCCGCACTGGAAAAAATGGATCCGAATCCAAATCCGGATCCAGGTCATTTCTTTGAGATTTACTGAATTTTTTTAACGAAAAATAATTTTCGATTTTTTGTTTTAATTTCATCCTAAAACTTGCATTCAGAAATGAGGAAATTTTTATAATCTCTTTTTTTCAAAAGTTTAGAGTTGGGTTTTAGGAGTAAAAAAGTTTTTTTTTTCAGTTTTTGGTTGATATTTTACCCCTTGGATCCGGATCCGTGGATCTGCATATTTTTGCGGATCCGGATCCAGGAAGCCAAAAACTTGCGGATCAGGATTCTAAGCACTGGTTTTATTGTTTTCGTGTAGTATTAATTTACCTTTAGGGCCTGTTCCACTGATCCTGCCTCCTGCAGTTGGTTATTCAAGTTCTCAAACTCCTTACACTTTTCAGAAACCTTAGAAAATATGTATTCAAGTTCTCAATCTCTTTATACTTTTCAGAAACCTTAGAAAATATGTATTCATGTTCTCAATCTCTTTATACTTTTCAGAAACCTTAGAAAATATGTATTCAAGTTCTCAATCTCTTTATACTTTTCAGAAACCTTAGAAAATATGTATTCAAGTTCTCAATCTCCTTACACTTTTCAGAAACCTTAGAAAATATGTATTCAAGTTCTCAATCTCTTTACACTTTTCAGAAACCTTAGAAAATATGAATCTGAAGCTAAAGCTTAATTTCACTTGTCTCAAATCCTCCCCCGTTAATCTTTGTAATAAAGCTCCTCGCTCTATATTAACATAACTTATAACTGAACAAACGACTGAACCGAACTCGGTTTTTTCCCAAAGGATTTAAAAATTTCACGGGCAACGCCGGGCACTTCAGTTATAAAAGAGATAAATAAAAAAATAAGAAAATTAGAAAAGAAGCTGGAAATAAAATAAAATAAAGGGACACAAGTTTCCTTTTTATAAAGTTTAATAACTTTCAGATTTTATACAAATTGTTACAAAGACGAAAAATTTCGATTGAAATTAGAAGAGGAATTTTTTTCCTGTATTGCGACTCCATCAGAATATGAAAATTAATTTATTTTTAGATTAGGCGGGGTGGGGGAGATGGAACTGATTTAGAGAACTGCCAGTGTGTTTTAAACTGTTTCTCCATTACTGAAAAGAACAGACCAGAGTCCAAATTTAATGAATTTGAGCCGTGTTTCAAATCCGCCAAAAAACGGTTTTAATTGAGCGCCGGCTTAAATCTTGAAACATTGATTACACTTTTAAGTGGAACCGACAATGTGAACCACGGCTCAAATTCTTTAAATTCGGCTTAAGATTGATAACTTAAAATTTCTGTTTTAGATTTTATTAACTTAGATATTTTAGAATCAGGAGAATATGGGATTTCAACGTGTTTATTTTTCTTAAACCTTCCTTTGAACTGTTTCTCACTTTTATTTTCTAACAGAATTTACTCCTAACCATTCTTCAATGAAAAAAATTTACCTTAAATAATGATTTTTTTCAGTCTTACCTGATTTTCTAAAGATGCAATTTTCATCTCATTTCCATCAAATTCCTCGCCCGAATCGCCGACACGCTTACGCTTGTTTCCCTTATTCTAAACAAACAATAATTGTGATATATATATATATATAATCGGATGATCAAACTTTTAAATTCCAGACAACGCCGGGTACCCAAAGATACTGAAATTACAGACAAAGCCGAGTACTAAAGCTATTAGTATTCAAGACATAGCCTGGTATGAAATTTGCTATTAAATTCCAGGCAAAGCTGGGAACCTTAACTTTCTAATTCCAGACAAAGCCGGGTACCCTATTTATAGAATTCCAGACAGAGCAGGGACCCAAGCTATCAAATTTCCAGACAGATCTGTGTACCAAAGATTTTGAAATTCATTCAGATTTGGGTTTCCAGGCAAAGCCGAGTGACCCAAGAACTACCTTGTAGGCAAGTTGAAGTTGTTGTATTCTCCATTCACTTCGTTCCTTCATATTCTCCCTCTCCCTCTCTAACCGTCCTGTGTGCATCTCTTCGATCTTAAATAAACAAAACTTGTCATTGTGGATATCGAGATCAATGTTAAATCTCCTCGATTAAGGATAATAAGATTAATCTAGTTTGTTTTTAATCTTTGTGAAGAAACAATCTCAAGAACTGACGAGGGTCAACCCAGACCGAAATATATTTTCAATAAATGTGGAACTAACATATATTTTTTTACTCTACAGAGGTTTGGTCGATCACCAGCACCGAATTTTAAGATTAATCTTAACAATAATATCCCGGTAAGAATATGAAGAGCCAATCAGAAGCCGAGAATTTTTTGAAATTTTGCCCGGGATAAATTAGAAAACTATCATTGGTCGGAATCAAGCATGAATATTGGATATCCAAAAGAGCGGATTGAGAAGAAAATCAAAATTAAGCTTCTTCTCCATCTAATAAAGAATTACAAATTAAATTAATTCCTCTTCGATATCCTGTGGTGTTTAGTGGTCATACACTGCAGGGATAACTCTACATTTAAATTTGTTCACAATGGATATTGAGATCAAGCATTCCAATCCCTATACATAAGTTTTGACTATTTGGATTTTGACCATAAATCACACAGAAATTTTAATTAATTAATGATTGTTGGAGAAACTACACAATTTTCTTCGAGACAACTTTTCCCACGTTTTTCCTCATTATTTTATCACGTTTTCTATCAACTCATGAAAAAAAATCAATTAGATGAAAATTTATGCTGGGACCACGTGATATCCATTATGAACGGCTCAGTAACATTATGCCTAGTTCGTGAATGCCTAGTTCGTGAATGCCTAGTTCGTGAATGCCTAGTTCGTAAATGCCTAGTTCGTAAATGCCTAGTTCGCGTATCCCTAGTCCGTAAATGCTTAGTTCGTAAATGCCTGGTTCGTGAATGCCTAGTTCGTGAATGCCTAGTTCGTGAATGCCTAGTTCGCATATCCCTAGTCCGTAAATGCTTAGTTCGTAAATGCCTAGTTCGTGAATGCCTAGTTCGTGAATGCCTAGTTCGTGAATGCTTAGTTCGTGAATGCCTAGTTCGCATATCCCTAGTCCGTAAATGCTTAGTTCGTAAATGCCTAGTTCGTAAATGCCTAGTTCGTGAATGCCTAGTTCGCATATCCCTAGTCCGTAAATGCTTAGTTCGTAAATGCCTAGTTCGTGAATGCCTAGTTCGTGAATGCCTAGTTCGTGAATGCCTAGTTCGTGAATGCCTAGTTCGTGAATGCTTAGTTCGTGAATGCCTAGTTCGTGAATGCCTAGTTCTGATTGTTAAGACAACTTTATTCCTATATTTCTGAATGCCTAGATAACAAAAGAGTGCATTGAATGCCTAGACAATGTATTTCAACGAGATATAAAAATATTCTAGAGAGTTAAAAACATATATTTCGGGAACATTTTTACAGAAATCCGCAAACAATGTGCAATTTTTTCTTTCTTTTATATAGAAAATATAAGATGATTCCTAGTGAGATATAATAAAATATGTAATAAATCTCTAGGCATTCAATTCGCTCTTATGTTATATATAGGCAAAATGTTACTCAGTAATATAAACTAATGTTATCCTTTGGTCAAGGAATGATGTGGATTTATATATAAAGTTGTGATCTCTGAAATTGTCTGTTTTTTTGTTTGTAAGATTATATCTCATGGACCCCAGGACCGATTTGCCTAAAATTTTGATTGGGGAACTCGGTAGGACCACAGGAATGTTCTTAGCTTAGTTTTGAGATTCTAAATTTCGTAATTTACGACCAAGTGCGGGTAAACGGCGTGAGTAACAATGAGTAACTTGGGCAACACTGGGTTCCCAAGCTATTAGATTTATTTACCTCCACTAACATTTCGTTGAATTCGTCACAAAGTTGTTCTCTAATATTTCTTTCCAGCGTTTTATTCTTCTTACGCTCCTCTGAAATTATATTTTCTAAATATACTTTGCTTGCTCACATGCTCCCATGGAAGTTTTATGTAAGATCAAAATTACAAAAATTTGTATCTAAAAATTACTTATTTTAGTAAAATTTTGAAAATGCGCCAAATAAAAAATTATTAAATCCGCGAACTTTTTTAGTTATTGCTTTCTATTGTACAGAGAGAAGATGCTCACAAATAGAAACACAATTAAAGTTGAAATGAAGGATGAGCGCGAAGCGCCCTAAAAGCTTAATCTCTTGAAATTTCGTTAGCTGTTAATTTAACAAATCAAAATTCTTAAATGCTGTACAATAATTCCATCTGTACCATTATAACTAAGAAAAATATTAAATCAATGGTTCAGTAAAAAAAAAACTATATTAAAAGAGAGGCATAGATCATATTTGCTCCTGAGCTTCATCAAATAAAAATTGGATTTAATGGGCCCTTAGTTTAGGTTTAATTTTTTTAGGATAAAGATATTGAAAAGCTTAATCATTTTAGGAATACGATATTAAAAAATTTAATTATTTTAGGATAAAGATATTGAAAAATTTAATTATTTTAGGATAAAGATATTGAAAAATTTAATTATTTATGAAAAAGATATTAAAAAGTTTAATTATTTTCGGATAAAGATATTAAAAAGTCTAATTATTTTCGGATAAAGATATAAAAATGAATTATATACTAATTACAATTTATGTATATATGACAAAGGAACCATTACACTGGTCTCATACTGAGCCTCTAATGGAATCTTTTCAAAAACGATCCAAAGCTAATAACAACACTTTTTACCACTGGTTGCCTACTGGTTATCAAATAAAGGCAGTGGCCTGAAGGAGTTACGCGAGCTTGCCGCGTTGAATTACAAGAGAGAGATTGGTATAAAATTTAGGGTTAGGTTAAGATACTTTCTGGGCCGAGCTCTGTGACTAGGGCGGGCTAGGGGGGCGAGCGTCGCGGCTAGAACAGACTCTCTCTCTGTATTGTAATTCAACTTAGAATGCTCCTTTGGGCTTCTGCCCCTAATTTACTCACCGATAAGTTTAAGTTTAAGATCTTCCACTAGATCCAGGAGAGCGTGATACTGAGCAGACTCACATATTGTTTCATCCTGGACATCAGACTCATCCTCCTCATCCACCTGGATACAATCAGACAGTCAGTCAGTCAGTCATTCTTTGACGGACTATATACATAATTTTTCAAGACACTCTCAATTTAACCTGGCAAATTCAAGACAAAAAAACTCTCTTTCCGCCTTTCTTCTTTCATTGTTCCGTCATTTTTTTGCTTTACTGATTTTTTTGTTTGTTTGTGGCCTTGTGCTAATGAGTTTCGTCTGTTCAAGTTTTTTTTTGTATAATCACTAGTCAAGTTTTTTATGGAATAAAGTGCATAAACTGGCACAAACCCTGTACTTTTTCAAGACCGAATCAAAAAACTTTAATCATTTGTAACAAATATCGCATAATAAGGTGAAATAGGAAATAGGAAATTTAGGTAATCATGTCATGTGTGTATTTGATTGTGTAATGAAGGAAAAAGCTTTACTAGCAGCTTGAAAACCCTCTTTGAAATTGGTCTGTGTATTATGCACAATTGTATTTTCGCCATTTTTTTAAAAAAGATTTTTAGAGATTCCCAGCAATGTACTTAATGATCATGTGAAGTTTAATTTTTGGATTTTACTTGTTGTTAGAGCTAGAGCTTTCAAACCGTAATTTTAAACTATTTTTGAAAATTTGCATTACCAAAGACGACTTTTCTAACGAGAAAGACGACTTTTCTAACAGTAGAGGACTAAAATTACGCTTAAAAAGCTCTAGCTCCAATTGCAATTAAAATCCAGGGGAGGGGGGGTTAGGTTACAGTTATGTCTGGGCCGAGCGCTGCAGCTAGAATGAGCTAAACGCTAAAACCATTAGAAATATTAGAAATGTCGGCTCTTTATTCAATAAAGTCGAGGTTTTGTGTTGTTATTTTTTAAAATCTTTAATCAATCCAAATTTCAACAAGGGGTGGAAAGGGGGGGGGGATTTCCCAAGAAAATAATAACCCCTATGGTTTACCTCGGTTATATTGATCTGAGGGCAGATGGTAGATCTAGAGGAAGGAGCAAAGGAAGGTGGAACAAGACCTGAATCATTCACCGTTCATTCAAGGATATAAAATTTATTTACTGTAGCTGTAACTGTAGCTGTAACTGTAGCTGTAACTGTAGCTGTAACTGTAACTGTACTGTACTGTACTGTAACTGTACTGTAACTGTAATGTAACTGTACTGTAACTGTACTGTAACTGTACTGTAACTGTACTGTAACTGTACCGTAACTGTACTGTAACTGTACTGTAGCTGTAACTGTACTGTAACTGTACTGTAGCTGTAACTGTAGCTGTAACTGTAGCTGTAACTGTAGCTGTAACTAACTGTACTGTAACTGTACTGTAACTCTACTGTAACTGTACTGTAACTGTACTGTAATTGTACTGTAGCTGTAAGTGTAACTGTACGTTAACTGTACTGTAATTTTACTGTAACTTTACTGAACTGTACTGAACTGTACTGAACTGTACTGAACTGTAATGAACTGTACTGAACCGTACTGTACTAAACAGTAATAAAAGTGCAGTGCAGTGCAGTGCAGTGCAGTGTAGTGTATTGTAGTGTAGTGTAGTGTAGTGCAGTGCAGTGCAGTGCAGTGCAGTGCAGTGCAGTGCAGTGCAGTGCAGTGCAGTGTAGTGTAGTGTAGTGTAGTGTAGTGTAGTGTAGTGTAGTGTAGTGTAGTGTAGTGTAGTGTAGTGTAGTGTAGTGTAGTGGTGGGTTGAGAATGTCGACTTAAGGCCACGAATAACTAAGGTTTCCGGAATCCCTGCACCCGAATACGCTTACAATCAGGGATCATTTATAGAACAAACCCCAGGCGGACTGAACAGGCGACCCCAAGTGTGTTTGATATGCGCATTGTAAGGGGAAATGCTTAGGAGTGGGATTGTCTGGGGCCAGGAATGACTCCGGCGATTTTCTTGAAATAAAAAAAGATAGGATTGTTACCGTTAGTAAAGTCAGGTATCATGGTTGATCTTGAAGATGGTTCCCAGGCTATAGATCCTCGACCAGATAGAAGAGATTGTCCGAAACTTTGCTTCCCACCCTTAGCTAGAATAGAACTGAACCGGGTGGTTCGCCGGGCAGCAGGCTGCGGGGCAGGGGCCTAAACATTATATACATTATATCTTAATAGTATATTATTATTATCGTTTCAATAATTAGAGAAATATGTATTTATATGTTAGCTAATGCTGGCCAAACAGCTGGACCAATCTGGCTGATTGTTTAGGGAACCCATGTATCCCCGGGCCCCGGGCGTGACATGAGCTTAACAAACAGCTGGACCAATCTGGCTGATTTTTTAGGGAACCCATGTATCCCCGGGCCCCGGGCGTGACATGAGCTTAACAAACAGCTGGACCAATCTGGCTGATTGTTTAGGGAACCCATGTATCCCCGGGCCCCGGGCGTGACATGAGCTTAACAAACAGCTGGACCAATCTGGCTGATTGTTTAGGGAACCCATGTATCCCCGGGCCCCGGGCGTGACATGACCTTAACAAATTTGGATTTTTTTTTTAAATCCACGGACTACGCTGGATAATTCAGAAAAAAATAATGATTAAATACTTAATCTCCTGTTCAACGAAATAACCAACCTTAAATTCCCTCCTTTTTTATGATTAAGAGAGTGATAAATGTAAATATAAAATTAAATTAGAGAACTATTTATTTGATAAATCTGTATGGATCACAGGGAGGATAAGTTTTTGGGGTTCTAAACCTCCCTCGCTACGCACTTGAGGTTTAGAACCCCAAAAAGGTCTTGGAGGCCCTCGGCTAAGTGGTTTTCCCCTCAATTTAATTATCCTCCCTTAATCTCTCGGTTAAGTAGTAATTAATAGTTATAAAGTGGATTGTAGGGCTACTTTAATTAACGTTGACAGTAGTCCCTTTAAAGAAAAAATTTTCTTTGAATGAAATCAATGTTTTCTTTATTTCTGGAATTGAGCTTTCTTTTTCAAAATATAGTTTTTGTTTTTAATCTGTTTACCTTGAACTGTTCAACTGTCACTTTGGTTGCTATGGAAGCAAACTTCATAACATGAATAGATTCATCGAACAGATACGGAGCCTGAACATAATATATACTTTATAACATGGATGATTCATTGAACGGATACGGAGCCTGAACATAATATATACTTTATAACATGGATGATTCATTGAACAGATACGGAGCCTGAACATAATATATACATTATAACATGGATAGATATATCAAATATTCACGAAAAAAAGGGTTATATGATTTACAATAAATGCAACAGATTGTTTGAAAACGAGAAAAACTGTGAACAGGGGCGCATACAGAGGGTTAACATTTCAGGGGGGGGGGGGGTGAGGCTGAGCTAATCCTTTAAATACTTATTTTTCAATCAGAAGCCTAAATGCCAATTTGTCGAGTTTATGACAGAGTATATTTTCTTGGACAGTATAAAAAGATTAAAAATTGGTCTTTTTAACAAAATTATTTTTAAAAACCACTGTGGACACTTAAAATTTCTGCTTAGTCAACTCAATTCCCCTTTTTATATATTTCTAATGGATTCCCACCAATGGAGTTCTCTCATTAAATGGCATACATAATTTCAAATTTAACTGACTTCTAAATGGCTGTTCAGTATTCTGTAAACACACAGTTAAAATTTAACAACTTCCCTGGTTACAAACTGAAGATATAAATAATCTTATAAATAAAAATTACCTGAGACACACAGACCACAAGACTTGCTTTGCCTAGTCCGGTAAAATAATTCTTGATCAGACGAGTAAGTTTAGACTCCCTGAAATATAGTGATGGGTCAATATAGACTAAAATGACTTTTTACAGTGCTTAGGATTCATTTCATTTTGATGCGGATCCTGACCCTGGATTTGCCCTAAAAAACGGATCCGGTGTCAGGTCATAAAAATTTCTTCAATTCAAGATTTACGGATTTTTTAAACAGATGTGAACCATTCGGAGATAATAAAATTAGCAATTTAGATCCGAGTGTTGAGAGCAAAAAGTTTATTTAAACGTTATACGGGAAAATTCTTTCATTTTCCAAGGGAAAAACATTTTAACAAAAATATAAAGTTGTAATCCTTGTTTTTTGATTTTGTTTTTCCGATCTTAACTCAGGAACCCCTTGACCGATTTGCGTCAATTTTTGTTAGGGGGAACTCGAGAGAGCCACGGGAATGTTCTTAGCTTGGTTTGAGATTATAAGTTGAGTGGGTCGACTTTAAACGGGTAAAATAACTAAAACTGTAATTTATGACATAAGGCGGGTAAACGGTAGGACTCACTTTGACACCCTTGGGCGACGCTAGGTTCCCCAGCTAAAGTTATTAATAAAGCTATTAAGTAAGCCTACCTGAAAGGAATCATCTGATGCTTCTTTACATCTATACAGGCCTGGTTGGATCGGATTGCTTTGATACATCTAAAGGAAAATTTATGGGATTTGTTCTTACTCCATCCAAGTTTAAGAATTTTTTAGTTTAATTTTACTCAAATAAATATTTTAATAATTAATAATTAATTGACATTACTTCAAAAAAGGAATGTCGGTGTACTTTAAGTGACATGTCATTGACATTACATAATTAAAGGAATGTCGGTGTACTTTCAAGTGACATGTCATTGACGTTACATACTAAAAGGAATGTCGGTGTACTTTTAAGTGACATGTCATTGACATTACATTCTAAAAGGGATGTCGGTGTACTTTCAAGTGACATGTCATTGACATTACATACTTAAAGGAATGTCGGTGTATATTGGTACCCTTTGAACCTTTCTCTAATGAGCTATGTGGAAGATATCGTCATTTTCCTAGGTTTAAGCGTGTTTTCTCTGACAATTTCCTCTCATTTTATATGCAGAAGAAATGGGCAAGTCGCTTTCGCAGAGAACCCACAATTTAAGGAGTGTGTGAAGAGTCAAACAAGATCTAATTCTTAAAGTCACGTAAAGCTACGGTAACATTCTCTTTAAGAATACAACACATCGATTACTAACCTTCCAAGAACAAGAAGAGATGTATTAATGTTTCCCGCTTCCTTCTGTCTTGTCCCAACAGTCTGGGTCTTACTAACTCTCTCACTACCAGCCAGGTCACAGAAACTCAACATTGACACCCTGGAACAGATATTTTTTCAATAAAAAAATAAACAAAATGTCTTCTAATATAATGAAAAATGTTCGGGAAATGCACATAAAGCAAGTGTACCAAGCAAACTGTGGATTTTTAGTATCTGCTACTCTTATGATCTTAATAGTAGATACAGAGACATCTAGTTTGTTACCTAGCAAACTGTGGATTTTTAGTATCTGCTACTCTTATCTTAATAGTAGATACAGAGACATCTAGTATGTTACCTAGCAAACTGTGGATTTTTAGTATCTGCTACTCTTATCTTAATAGTAGATACAGAGACATCTAGTATGTTACCTAGCAAACTGTGGATTTTTAGTATCTGCTACTCTTACTATCTTAATAGTAGATACAGAGACATCTAGTTTGTTACCTAGCAAACTGTGGATTTTTAGTATCTGCTACTCTTACTATCTTAATAGAAGATACAGAGACATCTAGTTTGTTACCTAGCAAACTGTGGATTTTTAGTATCTGCTACTCTTACTATCTTAATAGTAGATACAGAGACATCTAGTTTGTTACCTAGCAAACTGTGGATTATTAGTATCTGCTACTCTTATGATCTTAATAGTGAAGATACAATGGCTCCTAGAAGACTGATGATTGAGTTTAGTTGCAGCGAACTGAAGATTCTCACGTCCTTTAAGTCAAAATTCTTATGGAATTTGTTGAAACAAAAAAGGCACATGAAAATTTACTTCCTAAATGAAATTATCATTTAATTTATTTGGTTTTAATGTTTAATAAAGATAAATTATTTTTTAAGGATCAAAAAATAGATTTTGCCAATAGCAGTAAACATTTAAAAAATTAAGCATGAAGCAAAGCGTCAAAATGTGTTTAACTACACAAATGTTCAAATTCAAGTAGAGTTTAAACTTTCCTATCATCATAGCTTGGTAGGCTTCGTCTGCAGAGGAGACCTAAACTCATTTAATTAGAAGCAATCAATCAATCAGTCATAAATCAATCAATCAATCAATATATCAATTTATTAACCAACCAACCAACCACAACTTCTGCCATTACGATTTTTAAAAAAGCTGAATCAATTTTGTAATTTGTCAGTTTGCTGTATGAACTGTGCATGAAATACGACTATTTCAAAAATTGTAAACATGTTCCAATAAAATATTCCTTCTAATAAGAATTAAATACTTTTCATGCTTCAAAATGTCAATAATATTTTTTAATATCAAATGTTATTAAATAGAAGTGGGATCTGCTTTCAGGAAAAGCAGAAACATAGAACATTTAAAAATGAGAAACCTTTTAGAACTTCTCTTAGAACTTCTTTTATATGATCGTCCATCATAACAAACCTGTATCTCCGTGATATCCTTGATAAAGGTTGATCCGTCCTTATCTAATAATAAACCTGCATCTCCGTGACATCCTTGATAAAGGTTGATGCGTCCTTATCTAATTATAAACCTGTATCTCCGTGATATCCTTGATAAAGGTTGACCCGTCCTGATCTTCTAATTGTAAACCCGTATCTCCGTGATATCCTTGAAAAAGGTTGATCCGTCCTTATCTAATAATAAACCTGCATCTCCGAGATATCCTTGATAAAGGTTGACCCGTCCAGGTTGATCCGTCCATATCTAATAATAAACCTGCATCTCCGAGATATCCTTGATAAAGGTTGACCCGTCCTTATCTAATTATAAACCTGTATCTCCGTGATATCCTTGATAAAGGTTGAACCGTCCTTATCTTATTATAAACCTGTATGTCCGTGATATCCTAGATAAAGGTTGATCCGTCCTTATCTAATAATAAACCTGCATCTCCGTGATATCCTTTATAAAGGTTGAACTGTCCTTATCTAATTATAAACATGTATGTCCGTTATATCCTTGATAAAGGTTGATCCCTCCTTATCTAATTATGAACATGTATCTCCAAGATATCCTTGATATAGGTTGATCCCTCCTTATCTAATTATAAACCTGTATCTTCGTGATATCCTTGATAAAGGTTGATCCGTCCTTATCTTCTAATTATAAACCTGTATCTCCGTGATATCCTTGTTAAAGGTTGACCCGTCCTTATCTAATTATAAACCTGTATCTCCGTGATATCCTTGATAACTGTTAACCCGTCCTTATCTAATAATAAACCTGTATCTCCGTGATATCCTTGATAAAGGTTGATGCGTCCTTATCTAATTATAAACCTGTATCTCCGTTATATCCTTGATAAAGGTTGATGCGTCCTTATCTAATAATAAACCTGTATCTCCGTGATATCCTTGATAAAGGTTGACCCGTCCTTATCCTCAGAAAGTTTAAGAACATGGCGCCGAACCTTCTCTCCCTTCTTCTTCGCCTGAGCAAATAATAAAAAATAATGAACAAATCAAAATAAATCATATTTTTAGGGATGTCCTGCAAGCCCTCCTCCAAATTTGAGATGAATTTAACAACTCAAGAATGAAGATAGGTATTAAAGACAAAATTAAGCAATTCAAAAAAATTTTTAAGCAAAGTAAAAATTTAATACCAAAACAAATCAGGAGCGAGAAGAAAATTAGTTAAAAACCAGTCTTCATGGAAAAACATATGAATCACAATAGACAAAAAATAAATCCAAAGAATGATATAATCAAGAAAAACCCGTTCAAACATTTGTGTGTTTAAACAAGACACAACCAAGATGAATAAATATTGGGTATTTCCCCGAAGGCATTTTCCCAAGTGCGACTTCCCAATAGAAACTTCCCAAATGTGCAATTTTCTACTGGGACAAATACCCAAAGGTTAGACAATGGATTGGGGGCCGATAGCAGCGGATAGGATGGGCCTAGCACTACGGAAGCTAGGACAAGCTTGGCAGGAGTTGCCGCTTTAGAAATTGCACAGTTGGGAAGTTGCAACTCAGGAAAATGTCATTGGGAAGTTGCCATTTGGTGTAAAACATTTCGGAAATTTTATAGAAACAAGTAAAAAATGAGTTTTACAGGCAAAATAAAACAAAACCAACCAAGCAAAAAAGGACCAGCAAAATCGTCAACGTCAACGTCAACGTCAACGTCAACGTCAACGTCAACGTCAACGTCAACATCAACGTCAACGTCAACGTCAACTACCTCAGGAATCTTCTCTAGAAGATCAAAGACGCACTCGTTGTAGATTTCAGCGAATGAGATCCAGACTGTGTACACAATAGCTTCGTCCTTTACGCTTAACTTCGTCGAATTTCTGTTCCTGAAATAAAAACAAAAAATGCTAGTTAGTTCTGGGAAATTTTGTATTGTGGATATCGATATCGATTTTTGAACTCGATCTTTTTTGAATCTGCAGATTAATTAAACCTTAATTCGATATCCCGTATGGTAATCGTACCTAGTCAGTGTCTGACTACCGCCGGTTCGAATTTGAACCACCGATTCAAATCATTCCTCAATCTTAAACATCGAGTCAAGTTATTTGAACATTTTTCATGTTTGAATACGGTTTTTTTAAAATATATTTTTGCAGATTTATTCAAAAGAGCCAAGGAAGGAAATTGCGAGTTTGAATCTTTTCTTGACAAAAAAAAACCGACAAAACACTTTTTGAATATTAAAAAAAGGGTAGATCGAGAATGCAACATGTTAAATAAAATTTCAGTTAAAATTATGTCTTTAGCTTCTTTAAAATGTTAAATAATTATGAGAAAAGAGTGTGGGTCCACAAATCCAATAACGATTTCACTGAAACTATTTAAAAAACAAACTAATTCTTTCTTAACGAGCGGCAATTCGATCTTGTCTTTGTCATCAATCATTGTGTTTTGTTTTTCTCCCCAGAAATTCTAAGAAATTATTATTTAAAATTATGTGAAAAAATGCATGAATTGGGTGTGTGTATCAAAAGTAGTAGAACAAGCTACAGCTAAATGGTAGAGGTTCTTATTAATTTTTTGGCGGATTTAATAATGTTAAATGACGGATTTTAAAAGCTAAAACCTAAACGACTCTATCATGGCTAGTGAAATCATATTAAAGGATTAAGTAAAGGCAAGACAAGACTAAAATAATATCAGCAAAACTGAAAAATGCCGTTTTTAACAGCCCAGCGTTTTTTGATTCAATGTGAAGCCCGAATTGATTTAGTAAGAATATTTTTCAGTTTACCGTAAATTAAGTTAAGCTCTTAAAATTAATACCTGTTATTTAAAGCTGGGAAGAGATTGTACAACTCCGATCCATCAAGAGAATCTAGTGACATACCACTAACAGCACTTGTACCACTAGCCTACAATTATAATGATTAAAATCAAATGGGGGAGGGGGGTATTTGATATAAATATTCTTGAAAGAATTTGGCCAAATAAATTAATTTTCAGTAAAAAGTCTCGCAAACGGGATAATGAAGATCTGAAAGGAAGCTCAATATGAAGTCCACCAATTAAAGAGAAGGCGCAGGGTATCAATCAGTGGGGGGAGGGCAAGCAGATGGGATACATATTTTGTTAATAAATAAACCCAACCCCAAATAGATATCAGATTATGAGTTTTAATGTATGCATTTATGCAAACAGAAGAAAAGTGCTGAAGTGGCTGTAGACATGATTTCAAGTACTGAAGTGGCTGTAGACATCATTTCAAGTGACTATCTATTTTAAGTGAGTTGCGGATTCATGCTGTACGGTTGTGCATCGGGAATGGATGAGATAAAGGTTTAAAGGGTACGGTTGTGCATCGGGAATGGATCAGATAAAGGTTTAAAGGGTACGGTTGTGTATCGGGAATGGATCAGATAAAGGTTTAAAGGGTACGGTTGTGCATCGGGAATGCCATTATTTTTTTTACTGGAGGTTCATTTGCAATAACAACTACAGAGTCCGAATTTTATGAAATTAAGCCGCTTCAATCTGCCAAAAGCCGGTTTTAATTGGGCGTCGGCCTAAATCTTGAAAAATTTTATACTATTTTAAGTAGAACTAATCATATTTGAGCCGCGACTCAAACTCTTTAAATTCGGCCTCTGGCCCTTTATGCCTTACCTGACTTAGTTGACTTGAATTGATGGAAGAAACTGGTGACCGTTTCCGTTTAATCAGATTCAATCCAAGTTTAAATACATCCTCCTTTAACTAGAAAATAATTTTATCAGAATCTAAACTTCAGTGTTGAGAATCTCAGGATCGGGCATAGATCTCATTCTTATTCAGACTTATGGATATATTTAATTTGAGATCTCGTGGTGGTTGAATACTCTGCAGAGTGCAGGGATTACTTTAATTGAGAAATACGTATCAAGGATTTAAACTTATCGGAGATTCTCTTCAGAAAAGTTTTTCATTAATAACTTTTATTGTCATTTTAGAAATTCCGTTTTATCTGAAGGGGAGGCGAAGGTGGTGGGGGATAATAAGTCGTAAATCTTTTTGTACCAAAATCAATGCTTAGGCTCCGGTCTATTGGATCCGCAATATTTAAACTCCTTGATAAAAATGCAGATTCACGGAACCGAAAACGAAAAAAAGAAAGATTTTTTAAAAATGATCTCTAGGACCGGATCCGGGTACATTTCTTTTACAGACCGGATCCGGATCCATTATTTTACAGACGGAACCGGGTCCATTTCTCTAACAGACCGGATCCTGATTCATTATTTTATGGACAGGAGCAGGGCCAATTCTTGTACGGATCGGATCCGGATCCTTTTTTACAGAATCCGGATAATTTTTTGAAGAACCGGATCAGGGTTGATGTTTTTTACAGACCGATGAAATGGATTCAAAATACAATAGATATTACATGTGACTTTACCCATAGATTTATAATTATATTTACTTTTCTTTTCTGTCTGTTTGTTTGTTTGTCTCTTTGTTTCCAATAAACGTCAAAACGGCTGAACCGATTGGGCCCACATTTTTTTGTGGGACCTTGCTTGACCCCGGAAAAGGTTTATGGATGATCAGAATTAAAAAAGTTATCTAAACATTGTTGATTTTTGTAAAATTCCGAAAATGCGCGAAAAAATATTATGAGATCCGCGGGATTTTTTGTTAATGTTTTATATTGTACAATGAGAAAATGCTCAAAGATATAGCCACAATTAATAGTTGAAATAGAAGATGGGCGCGAAGCGTCCTAAAAGCCTAGTCATTATAAAATTGTATGTATAAAAATGAAACCTTGTTTGTTCTTTCCAAGTCCTTGTCTGAGGCCCCAATAACCCTGTTGTAGCCGATGGGTCGAAGTGGAATATCGCTCTTAACCTTGCCTTTAAAATAAATACTTTAATTCGACTGGAACTATTTTAACACAAAAAAATGTCTTAAAAACGCATTTCCCCCCATTCGCTCATGTTCTCAGCCCAATATAAAAGTAATGGTAAATCAAATGGTAAAATTTTGTTTAAAGATTTACCCCCCAGTGAATTAGGACGAAAAAATATAAAAATGTTTAGATCGAAGTTTGAAAAAGGGGGGTAAACTGCTTAGTTAAAGAGTCGCCTTATTCTCTCTGTAAAAGTGATGAAGTCCGACATATTAACTCCTTTGATAGGCATTTATATTTTAAGAAAAAACAAAATGGCGGGGCTATTTATCGTCAGGAGTTTTAGAAATCCCAAAGAAGAAAAACAAGGACTTTCAATACTTATAGCTCAGAAATGATTTTAAGGATACCGTTGTCAATCGGGCACGTCTCTCTTTAGCGCTCACCTGAATGGTGTAGGTTTTTCCTGAGCTGGTTGCGCCGTATGTAAACAATAACTGGTTCTGTCCCTCTAGACAATCCTGAAGCCGAGGCAGTACAACCAGGCTATACAGGGCAGTTTAATTGAATACAATATCTCAAACCGGTTTATTGTTTACAATATCTCAAACCGACTTATTGCTTACTATTTAAAGCAGGCTATAGAGTAAAGGGTGCAGTTTAATTGTTTACAATATCTCAAACCTGCTTATGGTTTCATTGAAACTGGTTTATTGATAAATGTTGAAACCAGTTCATAGATCAAGGCTTGCCTAAACCATAGTAATCTATAAATTAACATTTAATATGAAATTTATCAACAATTGATGAGCCTATAATTAAGACAATTAATACACAACTGATTTGCAATTAAACAACTTGAACTAATAAATTCCCAATTAATAAAAGTCCCCCCCCCCCTGTTTGGATAGCCGACGGGTTGGCGCATTTGTTTCACAATTAAATTTTCCTGAATATCTCTTTTTGTCTGATTGTCGAATCAAAGATCTGAAAAATAAATGAATCATAAAATGATTTTAAAAGCTTCAAGGGACTGTAAGCATAATTTCAAGTGACCCTCTCCATGCAAAATGGGCAGTACCAGATTCTACCAGTGCTCTTAAAATAGTAACCTGCGTAAAACTATATCTATGCGTCATTGTAAAATAGTAACCTGCGTAAAACTATATCTATGCGTCATTGTAAAATAGTAACCTGCGTAAAACTATATCTATGCGTCATTGTAAAATAGTAACCTGCGTAAAAGTATATCCATGCGTCATTGTAAAATAGTAACCTGCGTAAAAGTATATCTATGCGTCATTGTAAAATAGTAACCTGCGTAAAACTATATCTATGCGTCATTGTAAAATAGTAACCTGCGTAAAAGTATATCTATGCGTCATTGTAAAATAGTAACCTGCGTAAAAGTATATCTATGCGTCATTGTAAAATAGTAACATGAGTAAAAGTATATCTATGCATCATTGTAAAATAGTAACCTGCGGTAAAAGTATATCTAAGCGTCATTGTATAATAGTAATTTGCGTAAAAGTATGCCTATGCGTCATTGTAAAATAGTAACCTGCATAAAAGTATATCTATGCGTCATTGTAAAGTAGTAACTAGCATTCAAGCATATTTATGCGTCATTGTAAAATAGTAACCTGAATAAAAGTATATCTATGCGTCATTGTAAAATAGTAACTTGAGTAAAAGTATATCTATGCGTCATTGTAAAATAGTAACCTGAGTAAAAGTATATCAATGCGTCATTGTAAAATAGTAACCTGAGTAAAAGTATATCTATGCGTCATTGTAAAATAGTAACCTGAATAAAAGTATATCTATGCGTCATTGTAAAATAGTAACATGAGTAAAAGTATATCTATGCGTCATTGTAAAATAGTAACCTGAATAAAAGTATATCTATGCGTCATTGTAAAATAGTAACATGAGTAAAAGTATATCTATGCGTCATTGTAAAATAGTAACCTGAGTAAAAGTATATCTATGCGCCATTTTAAAATAGTAACCTGCGTAAAAGTATATCTATGCGTCATTTTTCCGACGCCATTTATAGAGTTCTTGTACGCCTTACTCTCCTTGCAAGGTCGAATCAAAAACAATAAATTATTGTTTTTAAATATACAATTTTAAAATAGTTTTTTTGTATGTTATAAAAAAGTTATTTTTTTAAACGGAAGCTTTTACAAACGGTAAAAAGTAATCATTTTTTGTCCACTTTGTACTCATTAAATGTAAAAAATGTATTAATATCTAATAAGACGTAATTTTTCTTATAAATATTTTAGATTGATTTGATTGCAAAATTCCTTGGGTGCTGTTAAGGCAATCTGGTGCTCCGACTCTAGATTCACGATTTCATTCTAAAAACAAATTGTTCAAAAATGCTAAGAGGAAGGGTCAATGAACAAGAACCCTTATTTGATATATTTTGAGAAAACATTATTTTTATAAAGAAAATATATACCCCCGGCCGCAGGGAGATCCAATAAAAATGGATTTTTAACAGTTTCCATGACTTTTTATCAGCCAGTCAAATACTTTTCCTTTAAATTTATTTTTTAAATACTGGATGTAAATATTTATTGTAAAAAAATTATAAAAATTATAAAAAAAAACTTGTATTATAAACGTTCTGTTTGTGAATAATAATAATATAAATAAATAATAATCATAAATTAAATGTTGAATGGGGGGAGAGAGGGGGGGATGAGGGTTAAGAAGTTACCTCTGTATATCCTCCCTCTTTGCTCAATTTAGTCTCCTCTTCTGTTCTAGGTTTAACTCGCAGAAAAACCTTAATACATTAAAAATCAGTGCTTGTGATCCATTTAGTTTTGATGCAGATCCGGATCCACACTGGAAAAAATGGATCCGGATCTAAATCCGGATCCAGGTTATGAAGACATATTTAAGAAGGGCATTCACTTTTTTCAGCAGCTTAGCTCGAGTTTTGAGAGCAGAAGATTATTTTTCTTCAGTTTTGGTTGATAATTTTCCCTTAAATCCAGATGCAGGAAGCCAAAATGTTGCACTGTTAAAAATAAATTATATCCTGGCATAGTTTACATTTTAAAACGAACAAGAGAAGCCATAATAAGGGGGGGGGGCAATAAAAACCCCCGATTTTTAATGTTCACTAGGACAGCTTAACCACAAAAAGCTAAAACTTAAGATACATGTCGATTTCTGGAAAGCTGTTTCTATAAATAAAAACAGTTAGGAATTGGTCTGGATTTGTTACAATTATCTCCACAATACAGTTATGAGTTGTTATCTCAAAAGTTGTAAAGCAGTGGCGGATACAGGGGGGAGCCATGGGGCGACCGTTCACCCCTGTAAAATTGCCCCCCCCCCTGAAGCCAAATTGCTTAGCCCTGAGGGGGGTGAAGCTTCAGGGATGAACTACGAAAAACAAATAGATTATCAAGTACAATAGGTGGCAACAGAGAAATGGACCAAATATACACGACGTCACAAGTGTCAAATACAGCTAGGAAAACTAAATTTACTCACATTAGTTGACATGTTTTCCAAGATTAAATAAAAAGTGTAAAAACAGAAAATAAAGAACACAAAAAATTGCACTCATTTTACTGTTCGATAAGCACTTAAATTTAAAATTATCACTAGATCATTAATAATTTTGTCGGACACAAATACTAAGTTGACACTTAAAATCTGAAATTCTAAAATCCAAAACAGCTGAAAACATTATATTTAGTTAAAAATGAAAGACTTAAGTTTATTTCTTAGTTCTATATAGTTTAGTTTGATTTCGCCCTCAATTTTGGTATTGTGAGTTGATGGATTTAAATAAATGAGATGTATGAGATGATGTGATTGTGAGTGTGTCATATAAAAAAAATACTATTAATAAGGCGACACAGAAAAATGTTGCAAGAAATGTTATGGGTGAGCAGGAAAAATTTCTTGTGCTACGCGGGTTACAAGTTTTGCTCACCCCTAATAAAGTCCTATATCCGTCCCTGTGTGCACAAATTGAAATGAACGACAAATGTTCACCTTTAACGTATCCTTATCTGAAGGTAGAGGCAGAACAGTATTTTCAGCATTGTTGATGTCCATCAAAATATTCCGCCTAAATGATAATAAATTAAAATAGAAATAATGACACCCGTTCCACACAATACTTATTACTTTTATAAATGCAAAGTGCTGTCTATCCCCACTTCGCAAATCAGACAACTTTAAGAAATCGGAGTGCTAAAACTGTCATGTCTATTATCCTGATTCTTTTAATTTCTTTTGTTAATATAAAAAATGTCAATATTTCTAGTAATATTATTTCTTAATGTATAGGAATATTATTATCCACTAATTGTCCAACTGTTCCCCAGAACTCTGTCCAGGAGGGGACTGAACACAATCTTGTTTTCAATATTTGTCAACTTTAAACAATGTTGCGGGGAAAATGAATTTCATTAATTGCAAGATTTGGTCATGCCTTGAAACGGACTGTATTCCCCTGATCTCTGAAGTGAACTTTGCTCCCCTGACCTACTAACCTTGCATCAGGATAGACGATGGAAGAACCACGGGTCTGGAACGGATCCTCATGGTGCGCTGATAAATAAAAATGTTTCAATCAATAGAATCTTTTGTAAAGAAATTACTAGCTTGCTTAATCTCCAAGTGTATCATAAATGTATGGACCGAGCGCTGCGGCTAGGACAGACTTGGGGCCAAGCGCTGCGGCTTGGACTGGCTAGGAGACCGAGCGCTGCGGCTAGGACAGATTAGGGAGCCAGCCACGTTTAAATTAACCCTGTTTTACATACTAAATGCGTCTTTAAACTTGATAGGAGGTNGTTTATTAGGATTTCATCACATTTTAGTGATTAAATTTTGTTTTTGAAAATAATCAATAACATCAGTTTTACATGATGTAAATATTAGTTCACCTGCTATAAAGGAGGGGGGTAGTAAGGACTCATCTGAGGAGCTCGAATCTCGAGTTATGAAAGCCTTCATTATTTCTTTCTGCCTCTCCCCCTTTCATAAACTTTAGATATGTCTGAAACTTAACACAGGAATTTTTAAAACATTATTTAAAATTAATAAATGGAATGAACATTTGCTAAACGAGCAAGAAACCATACATGCAAATATATTTCTTCTGCCAACCATTCTTAGACAGGTAATTTCCTAGAGAACAATTTCTGAACCCCCACTCCCCGGCCTTTCGATTCTATCAATTTTGTACATGGACATCATTGATCATGTGGTCGCAGCGCCCGGCCCCTTAGCCCCTCATGTACAAAATTGATAGAAGGGGGGGAGGTCCAAAAATCGTTCTCTAGGACAGAGCCCTTGGACACCTTTAAGTAAATTTATAACTTTATTCCGCGGCGGCGCGGGAAGTTTAAAGCCACTAAACTGCAACACTACGCGGCAATTTCTTAGATTTAAAAAATCGAAGACGACCAAAATTCGTTATATTGCTAATTTTGAAAAATTTATGTTCTAGAGAGAAATTATGAGAAAGAACGTCGAATCAGGAGCTGTTATATTGAAGGGGGGGGGGGGGGTTGTACCTTTTTCCCCACGTCCTCTCGTTCTCTGCTAAGTGTAGAAATTTCCAAAAATTTGTCGCCGGCTGAATTCTTGGAATTGTGAGTGTAATTATAAACTTCAACTCATCCTAGGGAAAGCGAATTGATTAACAAAATAAGATTCAGTTACAAATTAATTGATCTAGGAGTACAATTTATACATCTAATTATACTCGGCGCTGGGCAGCAGGCAGAGCGCTTAGCGCGTTCTTTTATTTACAAAGGCTCGATACATATTACTATAATTTGTGTATTTTTTTACTTAATTATCTAATTTTCAATTGGATTGCATGTTTTTCATTGTAATCCATGTAGGGAAATTTCAGCTAAACAATTTAATATCTTTATATGGATACTTGAAATACTGCTGCAACCCACAAAGAATGATAATGTATAAACGACTTGAAACATTTTAAATATGACCGTACCAAGGCATTTATAATGATTGGGCAAAGGAAAAAACGTTGACAGGGAATCCTAAATTTTAAGAAAACAGACAGAGTGATTTAGTACAGTCGTCTCTAAACTAAAGTCTCATCCTTTGCATGGTATCCCTCTAATTAATATAGGTGTGTGGGTGATAATACCCCCCCTCCCGGTACCACCCCCCCCCCTCGAAAATTCATGATTTTATTAATGTTATCCGTATGTTGCAGCCATACATTTTTTTGAAAGGCTACTTACTCCTTACCTTACTGTTTTATCTTCTCATCATTTTGAATGGTTAACCATAAACATGCATATCATACATGTGGTCGGCGATTATATCAATTCAATGAAGACGAATTTTTCATTTCTTGTCTTTTTCTAATTTCAAGTTTACAAATAATACAAAAGATGCTTTTTTAACTGACAGCTTCCCTTTGGTTCCATGTTTATGTATATCCATCCTGTTTAAAAGCTTGATATGATACATATCAAAATTAAAATCGAAAGTCGTCCTAATTGTATTGATATATATGCAACGACGACTGTTGCGTATTTTTTTTTAAATTACCGAATATGATTTTTTCCTAAAGTCCTAATTGATATCTAGAAAAAATGCGCGTGACTAAGTCTGTTGGATACATCAGCACTGTACTTTTCTTCTTTCTACTTTCTTTATCTCAGGACTGCTGAAAACCAAAATATTGAAAAGTAGTGACTGTAAAGTGAAAAAAAATCCTAAAATGGAGTGGAATAGAATGACAACATATAGGAAATTGAAATTCTTGGTGATTATTTGAAAAAATTGATGGCATCACGATTCACGGACATTGGTTTATATCTTCTCAGGTTCTGACTCATGCAGCGTTACAACTTTTTAATCATTGAAATGTTTTGTAGACTTTACTTGCAACCGGAAAGTATCGGAATGATTGCCGTCTTCTTTCTTCCTTAAAGGGACTGTAAGCGTAGTTTTAAGTGACCCTCCATGCAAAGATGGCATTATCTGCAGAATTGTTTACTTTTCAAACTAGGAAAGAGACCTTATCTTCCATATTTTTAATCAGATTAAGGCTTAAACACTCAACAGGAGTGTTTTGTATTAGGGATAGCCATGTATTCGCATAGTAGGTTACTTTTTTAACATTTATTTTTGAATTTCATTTTTTATTTTAAAAGAGCAGTGAATTTGTTTTTTGAGTGTTTTTTCTACTTTTTAGCTTATCACACATTTGTTTTATGAATTCCTCTTTCTAGATCTACACATTCTAATCCCTTCTAGACAAAGGAAATATGCATTTTAAGACATATTTAATGTTTTTTTCTTCCTAATATTCCGCATATTTCCCAGAGCTTACCACTATTATATAAAGATGTGTTCAAAGAATTAATTTAATTAAATTCCTTAACAACTGTAAAAAAAAGAATTTGTCAACCAGTTCACTGTTGGTTAGCAACCAAGCTGTCTATAAGTTCTGAAAATAACCAAAAAATTAAAGAAGATTTATTTTCTCTAGTCAAATTTGTTCGAGTATTTGCCAAATATAACATATACTCATAACTTACTAAAAATAAATTTGCAAAAATTAATTATACTTCAAAGACATCATGAATAGAATTTCTTGAATTAGATTAATCAAAGATATAATAATAATTTCTCATATTTTCTGCATATTCTTATTTAAAAGTATTCATATTTTGTTTGTAAATAACACTAGGGTTGGGCAAGTTCTGACTTTTTTTTAGCAGTTTGTTAACCTTTAGTTAAAAACGTTAACAAATTATGTAGTTTTTAACATTTTTGTTCGTTTCGTTAATGGTATTTTCCGTTTTTTTAAGCTATCGTTCGTTAACGATTATTAAATTATTAACGGCGTTAACAGCAGATATTTTAGAAATCGTTACCGGTGCCAGCCATTAACGAGCCGTTAACGATATTTTTATGCAAACAAAACAGGAAAAGTTTGAAGACATCAAAACACATTAAACAAACAAAAAACACATCAAAACGCATAAAATTCTATAATTTAACAACTCAACAAATCAAGGTAAAAAAAAGGTTTTAAAAACGTTTTTTTTGTTCAACCGTAATTTTTTTAAACATCTATTTCCGTTGGTCAAATATTTAAAAATTAACGGCTTTAGCCGTTTGTTAACGGACTCTTCCGTTATTTTTCAAAACCCTCCGTTTTGTTAACTTTGCCCAGCCCTAAGTATCACCATTCTGGTGGGATGCTAGTTAAAAAAGTACATTTGTGCAGATATTTTTCATTAAATAAACCGCGTAGGTGGAATAATTGTGCTAAAAATGCCAAATAATTATAATTAGCCTCTTAATTATAAATTATAATCTTATTTAAGGTAAAAATAGGTTTACGATCAATAGATAATTTACCCTCAAATAAATGTTTTCAATACTTAAATATAGATATTCTTCAGAAATCAAGGATTTTTGCAATTACTACAGTAATAACCAGAAAACTCTGAAATAGGAAAACGACATTATAGCAATACTTAAGTGTATTTGATGTTGATAATAGCAAGTTAGTAGAAAGTAGTTGAGGTGTCAACACCTCCTTTCTCTGAGAGAAAGCATGCAAAATGCTTGCAGAATATATTCAGGACTAGGGCCGCAACCCTTATATAACCTTTATACTGTCAATGGTAGATGTCAAAGTCTGCTACAGTCAACAAGAATGGGTTCACACCCTTTGCTAATGGTGGATGTCAAAGTCTACTACAGTCAACAAGAATGGGTTTACACCCTTTGCTAATGGTAGATGTCAAAGTCTACTAAAGTCAACGAGTATGGGTTCACACCCTTTGCTAATGGTAGATGGGAAAGTCTACTAAAGTCAACGAGTGTGGGTTCACACCCTTTGCTAATGGTTGATGTCAAGTCTACTACAGTCAACGAGAATACATTTCTACTTTTGCTGAATCAATATGTATTTATAAGTTCAATGAATGCATTCCTGAAAATGTTTTGATTATTTAAGCGCTGACTAATTATCTACTTGTAAATGCACAATGAATGTATATTCAGTTGAGATTTCAATATGTATACTCTGTTTCAACAAAAACGATCAAACAAAATTATCAAACATTATATTTTGAATTGGCTCATAATAAAGTTTCTTTTGTGTTTTATTTTAAGCTGAACCATCATACATTATTATTTTGTATTTTGTGTTTGAAAATAAATACTATAACTATAAATAGTTATTAAATCACAAATTAAGTGAAATGTGTCTGTTTACACGGCACAATTGCTGTTGCATATTGGTGTATTTCAAGGCATAAATTGAGACTAATAGTCGTCTTTATATTCCAGAGTTTCTGGTTAGCACTAGATGAAGTGCCTGGCGTTGCCCGTGGAATTAAGAAAATAATTGTGAAAAGTTTAAGGGAAAACTAGATTTTTTAAAAGGATTTTTAAGCCAAGCTAAGAATATTCCCGCGGTTCTAACTAATTCCTCAATTAATATTTGAGTCGAATCGTTCGAATCTTAGCTTTGCTTTCTAGCTCAATTTTTTTACATCGTACTCCAGTCTCCATTCATTAAAAAAATATGTGGATTTTTTCAATTTTATCCATCCATAAACCTTTCCTGGGTCTTGTAGGCATAACGTTTTTGGCGCTGTTTTTAGACGTTTTGACGTGTTTTTGAAACAAACAGAAAGACAGACATGCCAAATTGATTCATTGTAGCTGAAGGGCCCGGCGTTACCCGTAGAAAAAAATTTTTTTTTGAAGAAATCGTATTTTTTAGCCCCCGGGAACCCCTGAGTGTCCACAAAAATTTCAGCCCGGTCCAGCCGTTTGGCCGGCTATTGGTGACATTTTCCGGATTTAATTTTTTAATTTTTTCAAAAACAATTATTTTTATGGTTTTTATCAGGTGGATAATAGTCTTCTTAATATTGGCGGAGTTCGTAAGTACACAAACTTTTTAAATTTTAACATACATCATTACTAATTCTTAGTTTTTATATCTAATTCTACTTTTTGAGATTTTACATTCATCATTCTTAATTCTTAGTTTTTATATCTAATTCTACTTTTTAAGTTTTAACATTCATTATTATTAATTCTTAGTTTTTAAATCTAATTCTACTTTTTCAGTTTTAATATTCATTATTATTAATTCTTAGTTTTAAAATTCTAATTCTACTTTTTCAGTTTTAACATTCATCATTATTGATTCTTAGTTTTTAAAATCTATTCCTACTTTTTAAGCTTTAACATTCATCATTATTAATTCTAGTTTTTTAATTCTAGTTCTACTTTTTAAGTTTTAACATTCATCATTATTGATTCTTAGTTTTTAAAATTTATTCCTTCTTTTTAAGCTTTAACATTCATCATTATTAATTCTTAGTTTTTAAATTCTAATTCTACTTTTTAAGTTTTAACATTCATCATTATTAATTCTTAGTTTTTAAATTCTAATTCTACTTTTTAAGTTTTTACATTCATCATTATTAATTTTTAGTTTTTATATCTAATTCTAGGGTCTGTCCTAGATTTTTTATTTGTATTATCTCGTGCTTTGTAGTTGAATAAAATATGAAAAATGAAATAATTCTAGTTCTACTTTTTAAGTTTTGACATTCATCATTATTAATTTTTAGTTTTTATATCTAATTCTACTTTTTGAGATTTTACATTCATCATTATTAATTCTTAGTTTTTATATCTAATTCTACTTTTTAAGTTTTAACATTCATCATTATTAATTCTTAGTTTTTATATCTAGTTCTACTTTTTAAGTTTTAACATTCATTATTATTAATTCTTACTTTTTAAATTCTAATTCTACTTTTAAGTTTTAACATTCATCATTATTAATTCTTAGTTTTTATATCTAGTTCTACTTTTTAAGTTTTAACATTCATTATTATTAATTCTTAGTTTTTAATTTTAATTCTACTTTTTAAGTTTTAACATTCATCATTATTAATTTTTAGTCCTTAATTTTAACTTACAGCTTAGGGAAAGATATAAAATGTAAAAATTAGTTTAAAAATTGATGGCAATGCCTGATTTAAACGGAACCTTTAAGACCTTTATCTGATGAATAAAGTGAAATCCATTGTCGTTTTTTTTAAGAGAAACCACAAGTGAGAATAATAAGTTTTCAAAATTTCAAACATTGATATATTATTTATACTTGATCAAACAAAGCTTTTAAGCGTCTGCGTACTGTTTTGAATCGGGCATTGCCATCTTTGCATGGATGAAGGTCACTTGAAATTACGTTTACAGTCCCTTTAATTAAATCACATCAAACCCCTAGATATTAAATACATTGAAAGAACTTATGAAATGTCGGCTTGAAAATTTTTCAATGTGTTTTATACTATTTTTCATAAATATCAGTATTTGCGAAAATAAATAAATGGCCATGAATATGTGGGAACAGTTTTAAAGAGTTCCATATAATCATTTAATAAAAAAACAAGATTTTTGCAACATTCCATTATCAGAAAGTAAAGAATACGACATTTGATAAATTCTTTCGATGTTTTAATATTTAGGGCTTAACTGTAGCAACCGGAAAATATCGGAATGATTGTCGTCTTCTTTCTTCCATTAAAGGGACTGTAAGCGTAATTTTAAGTGACCCTACATGCAAAGATGGCATTGTCCATATTATCTACATATCAAACTTACAGAATATAGAAAAATGACCAGATATATTATCCGGATGAATTTAAAATTTTTGTCGGTCGATTTTATAACAGTGGAATATGAATGTTCGATATTCAAGCAATCTTAAAAAGTTATAAAATAATTAGTTTTACTTGAAGCTTAAAAATCAACTTATCAATTGAAATGGGTTTGTGTAGTACATTGCACAACTTCTTTGTTTCATGTTCATGTTCATGTTCATGTTCATGTTCATGTTCATGTTCATGTTCATGTTCATGTTCGTGTTCATGTTCATGTATAAAATTAATTTGAGGTTGAGCAAATCAGTCGTCTTCCTATTCCACAGTTTTATGAGTCTCACGCCTATAAATATAATTTAAATTTTGTTATTGCCAAGTTCTTCATATGCTGATTCCTGGTCCCACGACGAACTCTATGTCCTGGGAAAATTACATGAGGCTCGAGACCATCTACACGTGGATGGATGGGTGGGTGGAGTTTATAGCAAAACTATACTGACAAGCTAGGCACCTGGCACAACTAGGGGCAGGGCGTAGCTAGCCACACCCCTTTTAATTTGACCCCCCCCCCCTAATCTTTAGCTTAGCTAAAGTTATGTGAAAAACCTAAAAATGAGAAAACAATTTGTTACGATTTCAGATTTCAACAAATGATAAATACGATTTGATTTTTTAAAACATTTCAAATTAAATTACAGTGTGTCCCACGAAACATGACAGTGGATGAATAGTTTAGAATGTCGTTATCCAAATACTGAATTAGATTTAAAGACTTTTTGCAGTTGAGTTCGGTAGTAAAATCTTTTGCTCAAATATATCTTGATCTGGAATCGATTTTACTGCAATAAAACTGCCATATAATGTTTATTATTATTTGCTTTGGTATTAAACAACTTAAAAAATTATGGAAGAAGACATTTTAAAATATTCAGCAACTGTCAATTTTCCTTATAAATGTAAATATGAAAATATTTATTTGGTTTCAGACTGGCCTCTGACTTTCCGGAGAAATGTAAAGTTTACAATATAGGTACAGTACAGTACAGTATAGGTACAGGTACAGTACAGTAAAGTACAGTATAGGTACAGTACAGTACAGTATAGGTACAGGTACAGTGCAGTACAGTACAGTATAGGTACAGTACAGTACAGTACAGTACAGTACAGTACAGTACAGTATAGGTACAGGTACAGTACAGTACAGTACAGTATAGGTACAGTACAGTACAGTACAGTACAGTACAGTACAGTACAGTATAGGTACAGTACAGTTCATTACAGTACAGTATAGGTACAGTACAGTACAGTACAGTACAGTACAGGTACAGTACAGTACAGTATAGGTACAGTACAGTACAGTAAAGTACAGTATAGGTACAGGTACAGTGCAGTACAGTACAGTATAGGTATAGGTACAGTACAGTACAGTACAGTATAGGTACAGTACAGTACAGTACAGTACAGTACAGTATAGGTACAGTACAGTACAGTACAGTACAGTATAGGTACAAGTACAGTACAGTACAGTACAGTATAGGTACAGTACAGTACAGTACAGTACATTACAGTGTAGGTACAGGTACAGTACAGTACAGTACAGTAAAGGTACAGTACAGTACAGTACAGTACAGTATAGGTACAGTACAGTACAGTACTGTACAGTATTGGTATAGTACAGTTCAGTACAGTACAGTATAGGTACAGGTACAGGTACAGTACAGTACAGTACAGTATAGGTACAGTATAGGTACAGTACAGTACAGTATAGGTACAGGTACAGTACAGTACAGTACAATATAGGTACAGGTACCTTTATCTTTGCAACCCAATGTCGTATATACCTTAGCTAGGTATTTCAATGAATGAATTCTTTTAGATCAAAATATCTAAGTTTGAAATAAAGTATATTTGCAAACTGATTATACACAATAGGTAGCAAAGGTATATGATATAGAACATTTCAGTTTGTGCCAAAGACTTCATTCATTTTTAAAAAATGCGATATGATATAGATTTTTTTTGGCCTTTAAGTGCTAATTCCTCCAATTATTAAGAAGTCCTGTGAATATTTGTTAAAATGAGACTGTTAAAATTCACTGCAATATTTCAAATAAGTATTCTTAATTTACAAAAGTGAGATTTTTTTATATTTTCCTGTCCTAACCATTAAATACAGTGAAACCCTTAATAACGAATACATCGAAAGAATTCATCAAATGTCGTATTCTTCACTCTCTGATAATGGAATGTTGCAGATATTTAGTTTTTTAATTAAATGGTTATATGGAGCTCTTTAAAACAGTTCCCGCATATTCATAGCTATTTATTTATTTTCGCAAATACTAAAATTTACGTAATATAGTATAAAACTCATTGAAAAATTGTCAAGACGACATCTGATTAATTCTTCCGATGTATTCGTTATGAAGGGTTTCCACTGTACTTTCTTTAGGTAGAAGCGTAGAGGATAGAGAGATTAAACTAATTAAAGTTGGAACACATAACCGGTATCTCCTTTTTCTTTGCTTTCTTCTTCTTCTTTTTCTTCTTCTTCTTCCTCTTTTTCTTCTTTTTAATTATACAAGAAGAAAGAAACGTTTTCACAATTTTTTAATAACCAAGACAAAACAAATAAAAAATTATTTTATAGCCTAATTTGCTGTTTAGATACATATTTCTGAAAAGAAATTATTGATAAAAGCCATATAGAGTAGAACCGTAGAATCGAATATTCTATTATCATCATTTCCTTTGCTCTTTCTATAATTTTATTTGCAGATTTCTTCAAAATGTCGTCTTCACAATTAAAGTCAAGAACACCTCTAACCTGTTTTTAAACATGCAACTAGTTTGTAGAAAAGTATTTGTTACATTGTCCATGTTATTTAAGAACTATAAAAATTTGTTGATATTTTTGACTGAAACAACTGGCGAAATATTTCAAACGACTTTACGCTCTTATTTAAAAATTGTACACCGTAAAAATGTCTCATTGGTATTAAATGAACATTAAAGTTTTTCTCTACAATACTGTACTTTCAGCTCAACTGCCATGCCTAGTCGGTCTCTCCATTTAAACCCTTATATTTATGAACAAAAGGAATAATACTCGAAAGAGGGAAAGGCAAGTTGGCATGGAAAACACTCTTTTCTACCAGACACAGATAGATGATAACTTCTTGAAAAAGTATATTTCAGTAACGAGGTTTCCTACAAAATACAAATTTTTATTGGCGTACATGCATATAAATAATAATTGTTAATAAAGATTAAACAGTTGAAGGTTTTTTTATTATCAATAAATGAGTATTGGAATTCTAGGTCTTGTAGGTTTAGTAGGTTTAGCAGGATTGGGGATCATATTTTTTTTGCTGTTGTAAATCGATAAATAAAGGGTTTAAAGGCACTGTTGTGAACTGATTAATAAAAGGTTTAAAAGGTACTGTTGTGAATGGAACTTACAATCTAGAAAACTGTGTTGGGTCGAAAAGTTGTTTGTACAGAAGTCTAAAGCAAATTTAATTCTTCTGAAAATAAATATTTCGTCTGATTAAATAAGTTCACTATTTGATTGCAAATGATTCACTGAAATTATGTTTAAATGGGTTCTTCTAATGCACTTAAAGTTTTATTAGCTCCATGCGGCTGTTGTTTACGTTTATGCAAAATCCTTGGCAAGGTTTGGTTTGGTGAGTGGACGGAGTATATTCAACGGAGGTACAGTTTGTCGGAGACGACCTTTAGAACAGGGGAAATTTGAGGGATATGGTTCACAACATTATTCTAATCATTTCTTTTATTGTTTAAAATGCGCAAATCACATTATAGAGAAAATGCAATTGAAAATATTTAATTTGTTCGAAGAGACGATAATGGATATCTTGATCTGACAAATCGCGTCTGCACTGTCTCTTCAATTCTAACTTTTTTTATAATTTAGAAACTATAAGAGAGCTTCCCCTAAACCATCAGTTTTTATAGAGGGAGGTAATTATTTTCTTTTTCTGAAACCTAAAAATACATAAATATTATTAGGATTATATGAAATAAGATACAATATGTTTAGTCAATGTTTGAAAAGTAGGCTACAATTGTGGATCAGACATAGAACTTTATAAATGGATAGTCACTTAAAATTACGTCTACTGTTTCTTTAAGGACTGCATGCTAGAGAATGGATATCTCCAGCAACTGTTACTTTTATCACAAAAGAACTAGGAATATTTGATTTTTATTAATCACTTGATAATATGGATATTCAAATATTTAATCCAATATTTTAATTCAATTTTATAATTTTATCTTTGAATTGACTTATTCATAAACAACGTTTTTTAATGATTTGTAAAACTTGTAGCTTTTGAATTTTTACCTCAACAGCGCCAGTTTTGATAACATTATGAAAACAGCAATATTAAGTTTTGCGGATGTTCTGTGTTTGGTGAATTTCCATTCAATTTTAGAAATCGAAATTATTCTGAGACAACATTTTGAAATTCTGACCCATGCATTATAAACCAAATCATGAGTCACCACAGCTAAGATTAAGTTTTTGCCACAAACTCAAAATTTTTATATAAAACTGTGTCAAATTTATACGAAAATTTTTATATATAAAATGCTGTATAAAAATCGTAGATTTAAAAAGATCATATTCAGCATATACGCAACCAGTCTGAAAACGACGATATCCCAGAGGAGCCTGAAAAACTTAGGTTTGCGCTTATTATTATTTGAATTTAATAATTTTTCATATATTAAAACGTCCGTATCACACGATCAAACTCCCACCAATGACAGTGCAGTATCATTGTCACGTGATACAGACGGAGACACAGTTGACACAGATTTTTATCAATTTCTCGAGACAGGAACATCAGATAGAACTCTTATGGATCTCGATTAACTCCTAAAATGGTTATGTTTCAGCCTATAACCCCTTTTATTTTTCCTGTACAGTCCCTTTAAGCAATTCTCTACATGGAGGGGTACCTCTATTAATCCTCCAATGCACAAACATTGAAAATTTTTCATTTGAAATCTTAAATGGTCCAAAAATTCTGTTGTGATGATTTGAAGAAATTAAAGAATTAATCATCTATTTAAAATCAAAATATTTTTATAGTCCTGAATCCAAGATACTCGGCTCTAACAGGTAAATAACAATAGTTAGCGGGGTTTAGAAATAAAATTGACGTCATACTATTTTAAATTTAATCAAATCAATTTTTTTTATTCACACAAAAATAAGTTTTTCTATATTTATGACACATTTGTTTATATTTGAACCAAATAATAAATTATTTTAGATCGGTTTGACTTCTATCTTTTACCAGTTGGAAACCCTGATGGGTGAGAGGAGTAATACAGTGTTACCCAGAAAAATTGGATTGATTTTTTTTCATACCTTTTATATTTGATTTTGTTTTATTGTTTCAAATTGGTTGGTCAAAGCTCATTTTAAGAAAGTTACAAATTACAATTTTTTTTGTTGCAAATTTCATGATAAAAAGACATTCCTTTATAAAGAGCTGGTTTTTTGGTATGCAACAATTTTCATTTAATCCCGCCGGGATATTTTCATTGAAAGATACTTTGAAAATCTACAAAGGCAAAAAAAAATCCGCAAAATCCGCAAGCCCTCGGGTTTATCATTGAATCCCCTCTTTAAAAAGGAATGTCATTTACTCTCAGACAAATTAGAATCAATGGAAATTTGTCTGATAGTAAATGATACATTTATTCCGCGAAATTCTGGATAATAAATACTCGATTTGAATTCAATTAAAGATTGTCTACTTTATCTAAATTGATATAAAATTATAACATGTCTACGTATTTAAATTCATTTTTAAAGAAATAATTTGTGAAATTTTAACGCAAAAATTCTTTTTATAGTTATGAGTATAGTCATACGACAGATCGAATGTGGAGAAAAAACAGAGCTTTTAATCCTTTTACCCTGGGCTTATGCAGGTTTAGATATAGGTCTAAGTCTAGGTCTAGGTCTAGGTCTAGATCTAGGTCTAGGTCTAGGTCTAGGTCTAGGTCTAAGTCTAGGTCTAGGTCTAGGTCTAGGTCTAGGTCTAGGTCTAGGTCTAGGTCTAGGTCTAGGTCTAGGTCTAGGTCTAGGTCTAGGTCTAGGTCTAGGTCTAGGTCCAGGTCTAGGTCTAGGTCTAGTTCTAGGTCAACTACCTGTAGTTTGATAGTTACTGTTCTCTGCTAATTTTTCCAAATCTATATCTCCGTCCTAAATAATAATCTTTTTATATCATTAATGCAATTATCCCTTTATTCATTACTTCATCAATAAATTACGTTAAACATTTTATATTATGTAGAAATCTACATTTTTTTACAGCAGCTTGAACAAAAAATAATTTCAAGCTTTTTATAAGATTTCTGTATGCAACCATGCTGTGAATCCATGTTAAATTCTTAGGCAGGGTTAGGAAGGAGGGGGGAAGGAGGTTGGGAGAGGGGAGGAAGAGAAGAGAGAGAGGGATGGGGGGGGAGTTTTATTCTCTTTCTATTCCAAGAAAATTGTATTATGTATAAATGAAGAGAGAAGATAATGTATAATTTAGTCGAGTTCCAAACTAACATATTCAAGATCCCGGCACACTTCCTATTCTTGATATTCATACTAGATATTCAAGACACACACTTCCTATTCTTGATCTGTATTCTTCTAGATATTCAAGACACACACTTCCTATTCTTGATCTATATTCTACTAGATATTCAAGACACACACTTCCTATTCTTGATCTGTATTCTTCTAGATATTCAAGACACACACTTCCTATTCTTGATCTGTATTCTACTAGATATTCAAGACACACACTTCCTATTCTTGATCTATATTCTACTAGATATTCAAGACACACACTTCTTATTCTTGATCTATATTCTACTAGATATTCAAGACACACACTTCCTATTCTTGATATTCATACTAGATATTCAAGACACACACTTCCTATTCTTGATCTGCATTCTTCTAGATATTCAAGACACACACTTCCTATTCTTGATCTGTATTCTACTAGATATTCAAGACACACACTTCCTAGTCCTACTCTTGATCTGTATTCTACTAGATATTCAAGACACACACTTCTTATTCTTGATATTCATACTAGATATTCAAGACACACACTTCCTATTCTTGATATTCATACTAGATATTCAAGACACACACTTCCTATTCTTGATCTGTATTCTACAAGATATTCAAGACACACACTTCTTATTCTTGATCTATATTCTACTAGATATTCAAGACACACACTTCCTATTCTTGATCTATATTCTACAAGATATTCAATACACACACTTCCTATTCTTGATCTGTATTCTACTAGATATTCAAGACACACACTTCCTATTCTTGATCTATATTCTACTAGATATTCAATACACACACTTCCTATTCTTGATCTATATTCTACTAGATATTCAATACACCCACTTCCTAACTCTTGATCTATATTCTACTAGATATTCAAGACACACACTTCCTATTCTTGATCTATATTGTACTAGATATTCAATACACACACACTTCCTATTCTTGATCTATATTCTACAAGATATTCAAGACACACACTTCCTATACTTGATCTATAGTCTACTAGATATTAAAGACATACACTTCTTATTCTTGATCTATATTCTATTAGATATTCAAGACATACAATTCTTTTTCTTGATCTTTATTTTATTAGATATGGAAGATACACGCTTCCTGTTCATGATTCTACAATTTAAAATATTATGTTCCGAAAAAAGTAGAAAATTTTACATTCCTGATATGAAAAGGAATAAAAGTTAAATTGAATCTGAATTTTCTATAACAAACTTTAAACTTTAATTATAGTTTAATTAGAAAATTTTAGGAAAAATTTAAAGAGCAGAAAGAAAATAAAGATGGAGGACTTTAGTTTTGAAATTTGATCATTTTAGTGATATTACAGAGAAATGGTTTTTTGATAATTTTGTCTAAATAATTTTTCCTAATTTAAAAAAAATAACTTAAAAATGAAAGAGAATTCATTTAGTTGAATATAAAAATAAGGTAATTTCCAAGCCCCGGCTGGTCCACTCCTTTCTTTTTTCAAATTTACAAGATTTCAGGAGAAATTGTACAAACTATCTTTAAACCTAACCTAGCCTGGAGGAGGGGGTGTACAACAACACTTTTTTCACAAATTACCTGTATCCTTGTAGCCGTGTATCCAGGCCCACTTCTGCATAGTTTAGAACATATTAGAGAGATAAGGAGGAGCACAATAACCACGCCCACCCCCACCCCAGCAGCTAGCACGATAAAGGTTGGACTCATCAGATCTTCTAAAAAAGAAAACTATTTACAATTGATCCTGCGAGCCATAAATGTCCAAAATTTAACTCTCTGCAGAGCAGCTATACTGTATGATGCTAGATAGAAAAATCACAAAATAACCCTGGGCCTTATATTTTCAAGTTGTGGTCTGCCATATTTTGCTCTCAAAATTACCAAAGGATATGAAGAATTTAACGATATATCTGAATATCTATGTAGTATGTATTGCATACCAAGAAAAGGTAGAATGCAAAAATTAATCATCAGATTGTTACCTATTATTGTTCTATTCTCAACTATATCAAGTTCTACAGCATAGCTCACAAGATCGGTCAGGTTTTCTGAAAAAATACCTGCGTTTTTTTTTAAGTTAGGTTAATTTCTTAAATTAATTAAAGGTTAAATCAACGTTAATTTATGTGACTCCATAAATAACGATGCCTCTTAAACCTATCTAAAATTTAAACAAATCTTATTTATGCAAAGTAACCTTTGAGGAAAATGAAATATTTTTACCAAGATGATTCACAACGGTACAGCTGAAAACCTTTATTTAAAAAATAATATGGAAAATATCATCGTTTTTCTGGCTTAAAAGTAATTAATTCTGACAATTTCAAACAATATTTAAGAAGCAGGATATCACATTCAATTTTGATCATAAAAAGTTTACAAAGTTTACAAGGGTAAGCTGTGAATCAGAAATCGAGGATCCCTTAAAGTTACGTTTACAAGAATACAGCTCCTTAAAGTTACGTTTACAAGAATACAGCTCCTTAAAGTTACGTTTACAAGAATACAGCTCCTTAAAGTTACGTTTACAAGAGTACAGCTCCTTAAAGAAATCATAAAAAATGAAACAATTTTCTCCGGAAAATTTTTTAAACGTAAATATTAAAAAAGTTTACCACACTGAGGGATTGTACAGTGCTGCCATCTAACCAAGGGATCCATTGTGTAGCACCAGGGGGTCTCTTCTATACCCCCTCCGTTCCTAGACACAACCCCCCACTCTTATATACTGTACCCCCCTTCTATACCCCTTCCATTCCTAGACACAACCCCCCACTCTTATATACTGTACCCCCTCTTCTATACCCCTTCCATTCCTAGACACAACCCCCCACTCTTATATACTGTACCCCCCCCCTCTATATACCGCTCAATTCCTAGACACATCGCGAAACTCATTTTTCGAGAAAAATAAAAATTTTCTGCATCAATCGATAAGAACATTTTTTAATCTCTTTTTTGCTATAAACAAAAAAACTGTTTTTCTCTAGAATAATGGTAATCGTCCCTGTTTTTTCTACTTACCCTTTATATTTCTTGTTTAATTACACTTGTTTCATTGCACTGCACGTTTATTATTATTTGTATTATATTCCTATTATAGCATTATACTCGCGGATAATATTATCTTATCTCCCCTTAATCAAATTATATTTCAAATCCCTGAAATCAAATTATAATCCCAAAAAGCCGTAAAAGTAATGCAATAGACACATATTGAGAAATATGTAGAGGCAAGACAGAGTTTATATAGAAGCCAGTAAGTATCGAAAACAAATAGATTTCAACATTTATTTAACCAAAAATAAATACATTTCTTGTATTTTCAAGAAAAAGAGCAAAATAAAATGCGCTCGAGGGG